TTGAGTGTTCCTTTAATGGTTGTGTATTGTCCCCCAATTCATGTCGTAGTGATGTGATTGAAAAAATTGTTTGATCAGGCTTGCTGGGCAGGAGTCCAGTTTGCAAAACATCAGTTTGATCAAAGCAGTAATATAAATTAGTTAGTTATTAGGTGGTATTATGAAAGATCACAAACGAGTATCTGTAATCTTGTCCTGGAATGGTGGTTTGAGGTGGATGCATGACGTTTGATTGTGAGGTAATCTTGTGTATTTGAATTTGTGAATAATCTGAAGGCAACAAATGCCTATCGATTGTGCAAATTTTTCTAAAATTATTTCTGAATGATTTTTAGTTCTTAATTAACATTGTATGCCTGACTTCACTGACCCAGCCAGAACTATATTAAATAATTTAAACCATACACTCATAGGGCACTGTAATGTCCTCATACAGTTTTTCTATACAGATGCCTGAGCACACAGGAGATAGTTTTTTTTAATCATTTGACTTTGTTGTATGCAAATGCTTTTCTATGGGGTAGATTAGATGCATGTGCGGTGCTCGCTGCACATGTGCATCAAGTCCCCAGTTCTCCTCTTTTAAAAGCATTGGATTAGACCATGTTGGAGGAGGTCATGCCTTCTCAATGACATCGACTCACTGGGACACACAGAGGTCTGGGGTCCTATACAACTAGGAACAGGGACACTAAAGCGTTAGGAGTACAGGTTTGTATTTCTAATGTTCTGCTGTTTCTTTAAATGTACACTGATAAAGGAACCTAAAGCATTGGGGAGCAGTCTTTCATAATACATTGAAGAAATTTAGCTCCTTAGAGGGCATATTTGATGCAGAATTCTATAGAAAAATATTAGGGGAGGTTTATGTGATGTTCAATATATATATTTTTTAATTTATAGAGACTTTTCATTTTTTTTTTTTTATAAGAAAGAGTTGTTGATCTCTTATAGCCTAATTAAAGGAACATGGCCAACGTATTTGCTGAGAATAGCATATGAAGCTCTCAGCCAGTGAACAAGTTCTGCATAGCAGGGTTCAACTCTAGAACATGGGTAATCCCTTGGCGGGCCAGTCACATTGTATGTTTGGTGGTATGTGTACGTGTGGGGCTGCTTGGGGTATTTCATGTGAAAGGCTGCTTGTGAGATTGTGTGCATGTGTGTGGATTGTCAATGGCATTGTATTTAAGGAGACTGTGTGTCTGCTTGTGTGTGGGCTGTTTGTATTATTTGTATGGGGAGGGACAAATAATATCTAGCGGTGTATCTGTGTATATCTAGCGGTGTGGGCTGCTTCACTAGGGTTTAGTGGGGACGCCGCTGGCCAAGTACAGGTCAAGGCTAGGAGCTGAGATCCAGTGGCGTCACTAGGGTTGGTGTCACCCGGTGCGATAACTCACGGTGTCACCCCAACCTCCTTAATAATGTGTTTTTTGGTTGGTTTTTTTTTACTAATGTTACTCGTAAATCATAACTCCCTTATAACACTAAATGTAATGGAAATAGTGACATTAACAACTAGGACAATTAAAATGACCTTTAAATTATAATATCATATGAAAATAATAGAATTCAAAATAAAAAATTTTACAAAATTATGTATATTTTAACATAACATAACATAACATTATTTAACCACAGGCATGTGCACGAGGTGTGCCGGGTGTGTATCTCTAATTAGGCAGTTTAGGCAGCCGCCTAAGGCCTCGTGCAGTCTGGGGCATTGCGGCCGTCTAAACTCCCTTAAGGCAGACTGTGTCATGTCCTCGGTCAGTAGGGGGTCCGGCGGCTTGCTCTGTATGCCACCGGGTGCGAGGCCCCTCCAGTCTGCCGGGAGGAGAGCGCCAATTGCGGACACCAGTCTGCAACTCTGCAGTGTGCAGAGCACAGAGAAAAAGAGGAGACTGCGCCCCAGACCATATAATTAGAAATTGTATACTTACACAATTTTTTTGTGGTGTTGTATATACAATTTACCTTAAAAAACAAAAGGACATAAAGAAATAATAGTGCAATATGATATATTCAGTGAGTAGGTGTTCAAGTAATCCTATATGGTATCACTCACATTTGCCAGAACTAACTCAGAGCTCAGCTGTAGTGCGCGTGGACGGAACAACCCCCGTCTAAGTCTATGTGCAGATATTGGCATCTTTGGTAGTCTCAGACAAAGTGCAGTATGCAGGTCATATATAAAGAGACATAGAGAAATATTCCAATAGTGAAGTAAGTACTTACAAATGTTGAAAAAAATATAAAGTAATGTACTCACATTTACTAGAGCAGAACTTGCTCTAGTGTATACAGCATAGGTGGTATAATTCCCACCTGGGCATATGATGGTAGCCAGGAAATAAAAAATGAAGGTATAGAGTAAATTTTAAAAGATTAAAAATGTACAATTTATTAAAAAAAACAATAAAACCTATGTAGAATATCTTCAAAGGGTCCCACTTTACGCGTTTCACCTGTGGAGGCTTATTCACACTTCTAAAGAAGCCTCCACTTCCACCCCCATCCCGGTATACGTCCTCCCACACCATTACCCCCTCCCTCCCAGTCCCCCTCCTCCCAACACCCCTCTCACTCTCACTATTACCCCTCTCCCAGTATACTCCACTCATGTCCCTTAGAACTCACCCCTCCTCTCCTCTCCCTTAGTGTTCTCCCCTACCCTCCTGTCCCTTAGTGCTCTCCCCTCCCCTCCTATCTCTTAGTGCTCTCCCATCCTCTCCTGTCCCTTAGTATGCTCTTATCCCTTCGTGTTCTCCCATCAATTAGTGATCTCTCCTCCCCACCTGTCCCTTAGTGATCTCCTCTGCATCTTAGTGATCTCCCCTGCCCCTAAGTGCTCTCCACTGCACTCCTGTCCCTTACTGCTCTCCATTGCCCTCCTGTCCCTTGGTGATCTCCTCATCCCCCGTCCCTTAGTGCTCTTCCCTGCCCCCCCATTCCTTAATGCTCTCCCCTGACCCTTAATGCTTGCCCTGACCCTTAATGCTCTCCCCTGTCACCCCCGTGTCCAAACGGGACGTGCCGGCCCTGGGTGTCACCCCCCTGGTGCGGTCCTCTGCTGTGAGCTGCTCTATTCCAGCGCAGATTCCGGTTCACAAGTATTGGGAGGAAGTGAGGAAGTGATCAGAGGTCACTTTCTATAAGTGCTGCAATGTGTAAATTGAGGATTGTCCCTCACCACCTGCAATCACTGCTCGGTTTACACTAGCAGGTATTTAAAGTTCCACTGGATGTCCTGATAGGCCAGAGCATGTTTGTCTCTGGCAGCATTGAGTGCTGTGCAAAGGCACCTCGGGAGCCATGCATGGCACACATGCCATAGGTTGCTGATCCTGCTGTTCAGCTAACAGAAGCTCATTGCAGAACCTTCTACCAAAGGAGTAGTTGACCAGTGCCTGACGGACTCCAGGTAAGTTATAAAATGGTTCTCAAACTGTTGCTTACTTAACCATTGGAGGGCAGTAGGCCACTGCTGGCACCATAGCATCTACAATGTGCTGTATTATGATGCTTAAAGTGTTTCTTTAAACTACCTCACATTCGATTACAGCTCTTGAAAAAGTTGAGTTCACTCCAACTTTTTCTTAAATCAGCATCTCTACATGTATGGCAACAATTCCATTCATGTGACTGTTGAATTCCAACACAGGCACACAAGATTCTACTTAATGAGGTACTGATTAGGTGATCTCCTGAACCAAATCTTATTTAAACAAATACTATAGGGTCAGGAACACAAACATGTATTCCTGACCCTGCAGAGTTTAAGATGTTAGTTGCCCAGCCCCCCTTGCCTTCCTTAAATAGTAAAGTAAAAACGTACCTTTATTCTAGCACAGTGCGGGTCTGACGGTGCTGGCCCTGCCCCCGATATGCCTCCTTGGCTGAGATCAGTAGAATTGATACTTTTCCATAGGAAAGCAGTGGATTGGCTGAGACTGTCAATTCTGATTATCTCAAACAAGGAGGTGGGGGTGGGGACCAAGACAAATGCGGCTCTGGCATATCAGGATCTCCTCATAGAGATGCATTGAGTAAATGCATCTCTATAGGAAAAGTTCACTGTCATGGAGACACTGAATGTCAGGGCTGCACGTTATGCAGCACCGATCCAGGAAGTACCTCTAGTGGTCATATGACTGCCACTGGAGGTGTCCCTAGGAAGCAATGTAAACACTACCTTTTTCTGAAAAGACAGTGTTTACAACAAAAAGTCTGCAGGAACTGTCTTTTTTTTCCAGCAGAACAAAGCTCCATGCCACTCAGCCAGATCAATCAATATAGGGCCAGTAGATCAAGACCCTGTTATGGCCAGCCCAATCTCTAGCTATAAACCACATTATAAACCTCTGGAATGTCATCAAGTGGAAGAGTGATGGTCTCAAGCTGTCAAACACAGCCGATCTGTCAGAAGTGGCATAAAGTCACCCAACAGCAACGTGAAATACTGGTGGAGAGCATGCCAAGACGCACAAAAGCTATGATCGAAAAGCAGTGTTATTCCACCAAATATTGATTCCTGTATTGTGTAGTTTAAAAATGAATATGAACTTGTTTTCTTTGCATTATTCAAGGTCTAAAAACACTGCATTTTTGACCACTATTTAATTTTCTGCCGCTAAATTCTCAAAACGACAAATATTTCTATTTGGAATTTTGGATTATTCAAAAAAAAATTGACAGCAGTTTATTGAATAAAACAAAATAAATAAATATTCATTTTAGCCAAATAAATACTTATAAATAATAAAATCATTGAAATGAAACCTTTTTGCAGAACTTATTTATTTCTAGAGCTGAATCAATCAATCAATAAATAAATAAATAAATATGCAAATATAACAAACAAAAAAACAGCATTCACTTGTAAAAAAAAAAAAAAAAAATACAAAGTATAATTTAAGTCAAAGCTTTTTCTTTTTTGTCTTTGTTGACAGTCCCAGCTTGCCAAACCAGCTGCAGTGCGCCTGTCACTTTAAGGCGTTCTGTGACTCAGCTGGTTGTCGCCCAGTTTGTCCTCCAGCGGCTGCCGTACTGTGCAGTCTGCACTGGAAGGTCGGGTGGCAGAGGTTACAGCTGCACCACGTGTGTACGTGTGTGTGTATGTGTGTGAGAGTGTGTGTCTCTGCGTGTGACCGGCCGGCTCAGTCCTTCTAACAAGCTCCACAGACACTCGCCAGCCCAGCGTGGAGGACATGGTCAGCAAGACAGAGGAGGCCGGCATGCCGAGCTGTGCTACCGCCGCACACCCCCCACAGAGGAGCCCAGGCCCCTGCTGCGGTAATAACATGGGTCTGCATGGGGGGGACGGGACCCTTCACCACCCAGGGGGGCTCACTGCATGCTGTCTGACACTGTAACCACATACCTCAGTGACCACCTTCCTCTGTGGGGAGCTCCAGCAGCCCTGGAGAAACATTCCCATAGAGATCAGCCAGCTGAAGGGTGGCCGATAGTCATGGGATTCATAGCTTGAGTTCCAAAGCTTCCTTTCACTAACAGTGACTTAGAGGGCTGTGTAGGACAGGCAATGACACAGGGATTGGGGGGGATACAGCTCATTATGGGGGTCTTGTCCACACACTCACTACAGAAAACTGCAGGAAAAATACTAATGGATGTGTCAGCTTCCAATGATTTTGCAGTATTCAGTTGACTCCTTTTGTCATGGAGTAACCAGGATGTACCTGGGGAAGGTTTTGATGCTAAGGCTAATACATTAATGTAAAGTGGGTGAGGGATCAGGAATATGCACTTCAGTTGTTTATAGTGACTTGTGACAGTATCAGAGGAGAAAATGCAGTCTGATCAATCCCCAACTTTGCTGCAGTATAGATAGAAGCCTTGATGCGGTAATGCTATGAATTGTGATGCCCTCCTGCAGGTGATATATTGCCTTGTTGGCATGCCTGTGTAGAAGTGTTATACAGAACTTCGCATATAATGTCCTGTCTGCTCAGAGTAATATTCCCTTTGCATAAGTAAATATGTATGTGGCTGTATTTTGATTCTTTTTCATTCGTTTATTTGGTGGTTTCACATGCCTATTAAAGTCATTATCAGTCGAGTTGCTTTGATCTTAATTTTCTTTTATTTGTAAACACATGTATTCTTGCACGTTGCTGTAAGAACGTTTAGGTTTATAGAGAGGGTATGCAGTAACTGAGCTGCTATTTTTGTGTAAATGTATAGCTATGCATCAATAGTTGGAATGTGTTTTTACAATCCATGGGTCTGTGTTTAATCTAAAGCAATGACAGTGAAAGATTGTTTAAATTATACATCTGACAGGCTGTTGTGTTTAATGATTAAGTCTCCTGTGCACCAGCAGTGGTGTAAAATACATGACATCCTACTGTTGGATATAAAGGATGATCCCAGTGTAGTCCAGACATATTTCCACCCCCCTCCTTCATTGGATCTACTATGTAGTCAGTGCATGGTGTTAAAATGGCACTTCTCCTTGGGGCTTTGTTTGTTCCAGTTACTAATGGCATATGTCCTCCAATAACTGTGATTTTTAAAGAAGTTTCATAGGGACTCACACACTCTGCTAGAAGTGCTTCTCCCATAACTGCCCCTAATTTGTAGTGAAATCAAGTGAAAGGGGTAGCTGATAGATCACACACTGTTCTAGAACTACAACTCCCTTGATGCTCTATCTTTCCAATACCTGGGACTCTATATTGTATTAGGGTAACTCCCATGGGACATGTAAGGTGGCACTGTCCCTTTAAAGTCACTAGGTGTGCTCCTGTGGCACATGCCTACTTACAGGGCCGCCTGTGCCCTGGCCATGTGCAGGTGTCTGGAAGAAGGAGGCAACCATTGGCCTCACATGGGTGCTTTGACAACTATCAGTAAATGAAGGTCACCTTCACTCGACCGTACCATCTACTGACGGGGGGGTCACATATAATCCAAGTATTACAACACGTGTATCTGACTAGCAGACAGTTATATTAGCGACGTCTGTGTGCTAGTTATATGTTGGATGTATTTATTAACTTTTGCAGGTTTGATTAGAAGGAAGTTAGTAAGAGTAATTGCCTGATAGAGGCCGCCCTCCCCCCATGGAGGTTTATCACAATGGTACGCTCCGTGACCTGGGATGTTGTTTGATGGCGCGCTCTGATTGGCTGTGACAGTGTGGGCGGAAGAGCAGTGACATAGCTGGGCTTGGCTGGGTTAACTCATGCTGCTTCCTGGCAAGGGATGTTGAGGCTAATTGGTATTTTCTGGTTTCCTGTAAGAATCATGCTGTCAGCTCCCTGGATAAACCCTATTCTCTAGCAAAATGTGTGAATATGCACTAAAGTTTAAAGTGAATTTTAATTTATTCCCCCCCCCCCCAGTTCAACTATTGGGGGCTTAACATGTACTTTGAATTTTTGACAATTCACACTCTAAGTGAATAACCCTGCCTAGCTAGCTCCAGGACTTGATAGTTCTTATTATTTCTATTCTAAGTAGATAAAGCTTAACTGACCTGCCAGTATGCATTGATTGCGAGGTTAGTTTGCAAATATGAAGGCTTTGATACATTTGTCAGTTTGTTATAGTGTGCAAATGCGAAGCTCTTGTTGCAATGTGAAAACTAAATATTAAACCCATTTATTTAAACATTAACAGTGTATCTAAAAAGTTGTATCCAAGACATTTAAGCAGTGTATTCATATTTCTAATGATTTTTTTTTTGTCAGTCTTTATCAACTATATAGCTTGCTTTACGTCTTCAAGGAAAACTACAGTGATTTTTTTTTTTTTTTTATTCACTATTCAGTAGATATATCGCTAAATAAAACATAATTATTTGTTCTGGATGTTGTCTTTGGGGGTTTATGAAAAATCAGCTTGCAAAAGCTGCAGATCTCCTTTCTCCACCCTTTGCAAGGAATCACCTTTACCTCCATAGTGGATTGACTTCTCATTGAGATAACTCTGTGGTCAAGCTGCCAGCATTCCCCAGATGTGTAATAAAGGAGGGTTTCTATTGAAATTGGCACTTTTATAAATTGAATTATTGCTTTATCTGTTCTGATTAATGCTTTATGGCAGTTTCAGATCTGCTATGAGCAGTTTTGTGGTGCAGCATATTTTCATCAGTGTGTATCCCTATATACCCTCTTCGTGTGCCGAGATATTTTCAGTCTTCACTTGGTCTTAAAATCAAATTGAGCTTTTTCGCTTTAACAAATCTTATCATGGAAAAACCAAAGAAAAACATGTTACCTGGGCTCTCTCCTTTTATCCCTATGTATATTTAGACAAATGGAGGTAATTTAGTTACTCCAATGGCCATTGGAGGGAATACCCGCCTGCCAGCATCAAGGCAGACCCCCGTAAGTGGGTCCTACGCTGACCCTTCATCTTGCTTCTTGGAGCTTCTGGCAAAAATCTCTAATGAAACAGAAAGGGGTATTTTTTATATACACCCCTATATATTTATTAACCCTTAAAAGGGAACACATGGGATGGGCGGCAGCATTGTAACAAGGCTGAGTGATACAAAAAATTGATACAAATGCAGAAAGTTAAGTCCTGCGCTCACTCCCATCACTACTGGACGGCAGCAATGACTACAGTACACATCAGCCCCAATATATAGTAAAAACCAAAGAAAAACAAGTTACCTGCGCTCTCTCCTTATGTATATTTAGACAAATGGAGGTCTTTTCATTGTTTTTTCTTATATAGTGGGGCTGATGTGAACTGTAGTCATTGCTGCTGCCCATTAGTGATGGGAGCGAGTGCAGGACTTAACTTTCTGCAAATCTTATCATGGGTTACTAAGATTTTCAGATCCTTTCTATAGTCATTGTGCAATAGAAACCATATTTGTGAACATATTACAGATGCTCACACATGCATGAAACGGGAGACCATAGCATGCAGGTAAACCAAAGATATGGTCGTACATCCTAAGAAGTTACCACAGTACTAGCTTTCCGAGCGGAGACAGGTCTGACAACCAGGTTTTTCCACTTATCACAGTAACTGTAATGGTATTGACAAAGCAGTTGCGTCATTGGGCATGTTGGTCACATTATGTACACTCATGTCATGTGTTGAATTCTGGGCTGCGAAATGGTTGCCCTCTAGTTACAATCTCTGTGATTATTAGTCTCCGTTATACATCCTAAAATTTTTTTTTTTTTTTTTTAAAAACCTTACCTGTGAATGCTCCTCGTTTGCTGCATTTTCCATAAAGAACAGGAAGTAGATTTCATAGCCTTTTCTCTCATTATTTTCCGCATGTATATCATGTATGTCCTATACTTTTCTTGTTAATGTTAATGCATTTTATTAGCTGTTCCAGATCGCTTTAGTTATTATTATTATTATTATTATTGTTGTTATTCTTGCCATTTATATAGCGCCAACAGATTCCGTAGTGCTTTACAACATTATAAGATAAAGGGGATTTAACTATAAATAGGACAATTACAAGAAAACTTACAGAACGATATGTAGAAGAGGACCCTGCTCAAACGAGCTTACAGTCTATAGGAGGTGGGGTGTAAAACACAATAGGACAGGGAATAGCAACTAAATAAGGTGGGAGTAAAGCAGAGCTGGAGGAGAGAGTAAAGTGATGCCCTTTAGGAGAGAGCAAGAGACAGGTATGTGAGGTAGAGGTTACTCTGGGAGGCCATAAGCTTTCCTAAAGAGATGGGTTTTAAGGCACAATTGAAGACTAGGGGAAGAGTCTGATGGTGGCAGGCAGGCTATTCCATAGGAAGGGAGCGGCCTGCGAGAAGTCCTGCAAGTGTGAGTTGGCCGTACGCGTGCGAGCAGCGGACAGGAGAAGGTCATGGGCAGAGCGGAGAGACCGAGAAGGGTCATACCTCTGGTTCTGTGAAGAGATATAAGACGTGCTAAAATAGCTTAATTTTATGTTTATTCAGTGACATGTGGGCTCCTGTATAAACAGTCACATAGAAAGCCCATACATGTTACTTTGCAGGTGTACTACACGCATGTTGCATAGCTTGGGGAGAGCTGTGATTCCCTTGTGATCTCATATTGTGTGGAGGATGCATACACCTACATTCATTTTAGGAAAGAATAGCTACACTCATAGTCCTGATTAAAATACAGATGGGGAAGCTCATTGCACTAAATATGTAAAATTTGATAGGATAGGCCGGTCTTCCCCTTTAATGTACATATTCGAGTTGTACCAAGACCCTCTGACATGCTTTTTCCATTAATGGAACAGAATGTGTTTTGAAGCGGCAGCGATGTGACTATCTTGTGTAGTTCAAGGCCAGTACACTGCTTCGTTTGCATGGGAATGACAGTCTAAATTATATATCACTAACATTTAAAGGGAAGCTGTGTGGGGGAAATGGCCACTTTTTATGTATGTATAATATAGGTATCACATTAAAATATCAATAAGAAAAATAGAAATTCAAATTGAAAGATATTGTCACAGCTTGTTTACACTCACTTTATAGTGAGCCTCTCTTTAGCTACAAACAGACGCTCACCAGCTAAAAGCTGGCATCAGTGAGGATTGACTTGTTGGGGAAGCGCCCCCAGCAGGACCAGTAGACTGGTTGCGGCAGTGGAGAGAACCATCTGGGATGGCAGCATTGGAGCGAGGACCAGAAAGTAAATAATATAGCAGCTCCCAACCCACAAGATTATATGATTTGTCACTATGATAATGCATATATTTAGTATCTTGGCAGCGGCCATCTGTTAAAGCAGTAAATATTGTCTTTTCAGAGAAAAGGCAGTGTTAAAATTACATCCTAGGCATACCTCCACTGGCCACTCCTCATATGGCTGCTAGAGGTGCTTCCTAGATCACTATTGCACAGCGTGCAACACTGTCATTCAGTGTCTGCACACTTTGCATCGAGACACAAAACTTTCCTCATAGAGATGCTGATTGGCCAGGGCTGTGTTTGACTTGGGCTGGCACTGCCCCGATTTGCCTCCTTGACAGTCTCCGCCAATCCAATGCTTCCTATGTGAAAGCATTGTGATGGGCTCAGAACACCACTTCTGATGATGTCAACCAAGCAGGCAGATAAGGGGCAGAGCCAACAGCAGCAGACTGGAATAAAGGTAAGGTTTTACTATATTTAAGGTGACTTGGGGGGCTAGATGGGTTTTTTTAAAACTATAAGGTCACCTCAATGAGAAGCCTTTGCAAGGTAGGTGCTTTGTGCAATTGCTTCCTCTTGAGTTTAGCTCCACCAAGCCAACCAAACCAGGAAGTAACAGGACCAGTTGTCTGATATCCAGGAGGTATAATAGGGTTAATTTATAAACTGAAGTGCTCTAGGGGTGTAGAGCAGGGGTGCCCAAAATGGAGATCCCCAGTTGTTGTGGAACTACAACTCTCATGATACTTTGTCATTCTAAAGAAATGTAAGTTTTAGTTGTAAAACATCTGGGGATTTGTACTAGGCAAGCAAAATGCCATCGGGGTCCTGGAGACGTTTATAAGCTACTTGACATGAAAAATGTAAATGGGTCGTAATATAAATGTTGCAGTGGATTTACCTGCAATAATACAATGCGATTTAGTCCATCTTAGTTTGCAGATGTGGTGTCTGTGTCTTACTATCAAATTAAATGGACACTATAAGCACCCAGAGCACTTCATCTCATTGAAGTGATCTGGGTGCAAGGTCCCTGCCCCCTTAAAACTGCAATGTAAAACACTGCATTTTAAGATAACTGCAAAGTGAGCCTCTCTTAAAAAAAGTAAATATGTTAAAAAATTTAAAAAAATAAATAAAAAATATATAAATGTGTTATTTCGTTCTAACTGTATTGTGATATTAATATACATTTATATAAAAATACACAAACGAAATATATATCTATATACATAAATATATACGTATATATCAATATATAAAAATATTTTTAAAAAATGATATATATAATTAATTCTACATATATATTTATGTGTAATTTTTACATAATTAGGTATCTTAATTAATTACAACTAGCAGGACCTGCCTGACAACCCATGCCGAAAGTAAAGGGAATTTAATTTGCTAGCACTATATTTAACCCTATAACTTTCCAAGACACCATAAAACCTGTACATGGGGGGGGTACTGTTCTACTTGGGAGACTTCGCTGAACACAAATATTAGTGTTTCAAAACAGTAAAATGTATTACAACAATGATATCGCCAGTAAAAGTGAAGTTTTTTGCATTTTTCACGCACAAACAGCACTTACACGGACAAAATTATTGCTGTGATACTTTTTACTGTTTTGAAACACAAATATTTTTGTTCAGCGAAGTCTCCCGAGTACAACAGTACCCCTCATGTACAGGTTTTATGGTGTTTTCAAAAGTTACAGCGTCAAATATAAGGCTTATGTTTCATTTTTTTTCACATTAAAATTCGCCAGATTGGTTACGTTGCCTTTGAAACCCTATGGTAGCCCAAGAATGAAAATTACCCCTATGACGGCATACCATTTCAATAATAGACAACCCAAGGTATTGCAAACTGGGTATGTCCAGTCTTTTTTTAGTAGCTACTTAGTCACAAATACTGGCCAACAAATACTAACGCTAACTTTGGTATGCCATTATGGGTGTAAATTTCATTCCTGGGTTACTATACAGTCTCAAAGGCAACATAACCAATCTGGCGAATTTCAATTTCAAATGTAACGTGTTATATTTGACTCCTGCAACTTCCCAAAACGCCATAAAACCTGTACATAGGGGGTACTGTCTTACACGTGAGACTTTGCTGAATACAAATATGTGTATTTTATTGCAGTAAAAGCAAATAGTAATATGACATTGACAGTTAAAATGTCATGTAGAACTAAAACAATTTAAAAAAATATTTTCTCCCATTTTTTTCATATTAAATTATGTTTCATAGCTAAATATTTGATATTAAACGAAAGCCCTGTTTTCCCTGAATAAAATATATATATATATATATATATATATATATATATATATATATATATATATATATATATATATATATATATATATATATAATAAGGGTGGGTGCCTTTTAATATGAAAGAGGTGAATTACGGTTGGACAGACATGTAGCGCAAATGCCAGGTTTTGTTTACATTTTGTTTTGTTCACAACGTGTACATTTGGCTCCGTCCTTAAGGGGTTAATACTTGCATTAGTCTCTTATATCTAGGATAGCCTTATGCCTATCCCACGCATGCTTAAACTCCTTCACTGTGTTAACCTCTACTACTTCAGCTGGAAGGCTATTCCATGCATCCACTACCCTCTCAGTAAAGTAATACTTTCTGATATTATTTTTAAACCTTTTGGCCCTCTAATTTAAGACTATGTCCTCTTGTTGTGGTTTTTCTTCTTTTAAATATACTCTCCTCCTTTACTGTGTTCTTTCCAGAAAAACATGCAAAATGGTATGATCATAATTCCCACAAATACTATTAACAAACATTGAGTCTCACTTTGTCATGTATCTAGGCTGGCTGAATTAGCCGCTGCTGTATAAATTCTGCAGTTCCATAAATCACAACTACACTGCAAATGGAGACCATATGCCTGAAGTCAGGAATACATTATTGCCAGCAGGCTGCATCTTGTTGAAGTAAGAATTCAGAAGGAGGAGCTCTCACTTCAATGTGCAGTGTGCACTTCTCAGATTTCAATACAGATCTTGAAGTAAACAGGCATTCTAACACATATTACATGTAGCAAATTGTTCTTTTTTGTGCAAACACAATTTGTAACAAAGTACACTGAATGAAGGAAACCTAAATGTAATTGCTACAAAAACACATTTGGCATAAAGCCTGTGGCATAAAGGATTGTAAATAGAGCTTTAAGGAACACTCCAACATTAGAAATAAGTACATTTAGATTACTGGGTCCCCCACACTGCCATAAAAAGGAATTACTTCACCTTCAGGAGACCATCACTAGTGTGAATCTTATCTAGTGCCAATCCAATGCTTCTCACAGAAGAATCAGGAGGTAGGGTGCATGCGTGACAATGCTTCTTCTGAGAGAAGTGCTTACTTCTGCATAGTTGAAGCATGCCACATGGATGAGGAGGAGCATCATCTCTGAGGTATAACCATAAGGGATTTAGCTATTACATTGTATTCAGTATTTTATTTTTTATTCGATCTTAACTGGAATCAGTTTTCTGTATGTTATTTTTACCTTTTTTTTTACTTTTTTTTATCTTCTCATTACTTGCATACTGTAGTAATTAAAATTTGCCTTTGTGAGTACTACTTTTCCTTGTGTATACCATTTAGATTGACCAAACTTGACCGTGAGCGTAGTTTAACAGAACACTATAGGCTATATGGTCAGGAACACAAACATGTATTCCTGACCCTATAGTGCAAAACCCACCATTTAGGTGGCTTGCCCCTACCCCCTTATCCCCCTTAAAAGGAATTAAAATTCTCTTTGTTTCCAGGGCCGTGTGGGTTCGCTGGCGCTGGCTCAGCCCCCTTGGTGACATCATCAGAACGGTGGCCTTTTAGCCAATCCAATGCTTCCCATGGGGAAAGCATTGGATTGGCTAAAATCGGCAAGGGATGGGGCTAAACACCTTTTTGGCCAATCAGCACCTCCTCATAGAGTTGCATTGAATCAATGCATCTCTATGAGAAAAATTCAACATCCCCATGCAGAGCGTGGCGCACTGAGCCAGGAAGTACCTCCAGTGGTCATCTGAGGAGTGGCCATTTGGGGGTGTCCCTATAGGCTCTGAAAAGGCAGTGTTTGCATGAAAATGCCTGCAAGCAATGATTAACAGAACAAATACATTAACCCCTTAAGGACACATAACATGTGTGACATGTCATGATTCCCTTTTATTCCAGAAGTTTGGTCCTTAAGGGGTTAAGCTGTAGTTGTTCTGGTGACTTTAATGTCCCTTTAAGCAAGGTTCTGTTTCATTTGTTGAATTTATCCAAAATCCGTCAGTAAAATGAATCCAAGGGCAAACTTAGGACAGATATTGAGATCCAGCACAAAGAAAAAAACTATAAATGAAAGCAAGTGGCAAAGAGAAGGGGAGCAAGAAGGGGGTGGGGAATGACAGAGCCGCTTTAAGTGGTTTTTAACGTTTTTTGATGAGAAATTACAGTTTCAGGGTTTTGGAATTGCTGTGTTGTCGATATTGTCTGCACACTACTTCTTTGAATGCCTCTTTTTTTTTTTTTTTTAAATTCTTTATTTTTGCTGTGCATGAAATAATTTTGCATATCAACAATGCCACAACAGCAATCGCAATCAATTTACAGACACTTATTTGTCAACTGTTGTACAGCATAGAGGACACGCACACATTTTTTTTTAGGGTAATAATACAAGTTAAGTACAAGCTTAGTAACTACGTCTGTCTTTTGAATTACATTGTCGATTAGTACCAGTAGCTTAGGGTTAATATTTATGTCGCGTGTCATCGCTTCATTATCTAGACATTGACATGGTTATGCCTGACTATGCTTAAGTGAGAGACATACATTTTGTACAGTAACAGTTGGTCTAAGTAGTCGTGACATGCAGTAGTTGAGACTGTGAGTTTGCACTTTAGGTTATAATAGACTATGCAGTGCTGACTAACAAAATATATCTATTTCTATTAAGGTTTCCAACTTTAGCTAAGATTCTCATTAAAGTAGGGTGCCACCAGGCAGAGCATCATACATTCAGTTATTTCCTTCTATACATATAAAGCTCAAGTAAAGCTGAACTATATACAGGGTCATATGCAGAGGATATGCACGTTATTCAATGACTGCAACTACAGTGATATCTGGTATAGCTATTCATGTCATACTATATATTGTGCTTCTTATTATGAACGGCTGGGGTCACCGTCAGCTCCAGCCCAGCGCAAAGCCTGAGGTAATCTGGTTGTGTTCCATGCCCAGGTGTGGGGTGAGTCCCTTGATATTACCCCATGAATTCCACTTGTTCCTAATGTCCCGGTTGTTGGGTAGGTTTGCCATGTCTTGCGAGCCTTGATGTATTGTCGAGGGCTATAGCACCATGCGGTCAGTGGGTAAAGCTGGGTGTTCTGTTTGTTCTTCCAGCCCTGGTCGTTAGTGGAGCTTGCTTGCAGAGTGCCCTTCTGGGGTTGCCGCTTTGAGATGGGCATGTGGAGGAAATGCTGGCTGTGGTGGTTCTCATTTGTCAGCTTGTATGTTCCAGGGCTGTTACGTGGGGGCTTGAGAGCCCTCAGGGACCCCCGGTGGTAGCAGGTTGTGAGCACAGAGTGATCACCTTCTGTCGATGCAGTTGCTGTGCCTCCGTCAGCCATTTTGGTGAGACCGCGTGGGATCCTCACTCCGGCTTCAGACCATTCAGGTGAGATGTTTAGGCATTAGCCCGCCTGGTGGGGACCGGGATGACCCCCCCGGCCCATGGGGGGGGGGAAGCAGGACCAGGAAGGTACCAAGTAGATGGTGATTTACTGCAGTCGGAGTGGAGAGCGAGGCAGCGGCCGTCCACCCCGCTCCCCTCCCGGGTAGGCCTCAATCCCCGAGCGCCAGAGTCTCTCACCAGGACCTAGAGCCACCCTGCGGCGGGCGCTCCAGCTACACCGGGACACTCCAGAGCTTCGTGTCATGGACCCCCGGGTCCGTATAAGTCGGGTAAAGTGGATATATTGCCTTTTTTCCTTTGTTTGCTCAGGAGCCCGTGTGATATGCAGCCTGCTGGCATGGCCGCCCGGCCCCGCCCTCCTGAATGCCTCTTTTTAAAACCGGATATTTTTTTTTTCCTCGAAGGAATTTCGTAGTAAACCTCTTGTCTTGCTGATATGTCTAGGTTTTCTGAAACTGTAGTGCAGCCTCTTGGAATTTCAGCCAATGTTTTGGTTGCAGAGCCCACTCTTTATAATTAGTAACAGATGGCACAAATAGAAAGTTCAGTCTTCCCTGTACAGTCATAGGTGGGCCTCTCGTTATCCTGCATGCTGGAAACATTCCCGTTGCTCCTGAATTGTTGAAAATGGGTAACTGCGTTTGCTGCCAGTGCTGCAGACGTTGTTTTAAAATACTTTTTCGAAAACAAGAATCTCATTCTGATGGGGAACGAGTTTCTCTTCTTCCTCCATCGAAGAAGAGCCCACTCCACGTCCAGGTATCAGCCAGTAAAGACTATGGTATCACTAGTGCTAACCTTCAAGGGATCATGTTTTTGGAAAAGTCTTCATACAAAGAATCAGTTTGCTACCATGACACTCTAGGAGGAACTAATGCAAAGCATTTGAATTTGGAGAATGAAATTGATGAGGGAATTTGTAGCTGTGAAAATTTTCATCCCAAATCTTTAGACTCTGGAATTGACTTTGTGGCTTTTAATGTTCCTAGTGACTTTCAAAGTGACCTTGGCATAGTGGAAGTGCCAGACCCCTCTTGCACATTCGCCAAATGTGTTAAAAATGAACCTGCAAATAACATTACTCTCTTAGAACTGCAAGATGGGACTCTGGAAACAGCCGACCGAGCCGTTGCTTATGCAGAGCCAGAAAACCAGACTTTAAAAACTCAAAGCAGCTGGACATTGCCGAATGTATTCATGAATCTGGACTCTTCATGCAATCCTAATAGAAAGGCTCCTCCTGCAATAGTGTACACCATTCAGTTTGAAAGAGAGGAAGCTGGATTTCCACTATTATTAAAAACCAGCCCTCCTTCTGCGTGTGATACAAATGAACCAATGTGTGCTCAAAAGCACAAGGTGTGCATTAGTCTTGGGAAAGGAATACTGCGTTCAGGTGAGCTGTCAAAACCTTTTCTGAGTAACTCAACACTTGAAGCAAAGCGCTGTTTAAGCCTATTGAGATAGATAGATAGATAGATATATAGATAGAGAGATAGATAGATATATATATATATATATATATATATATATATATAGTCAAGATAGCCAGATTGTAAAATTCAACCTCAGAAACAAAAACAAATATTCTACCGATGATTTCCTTTGTAAAACACAGGGTCAGCAGCTGCAAACCATTTAGCGGGGCTTGGGAGGTTTTTGCAAAAGATGTGTGAAATGTGAAACTTCAGGCTAAATAAAGGCACTCATTCAAGTTTTTAAAGCTCAGTTTCATGGTTCCAGGTTTTTTTTTGTTTTTTTTTTAAAATGAATATTTTTCTAATTGGCCCAGTTTCATTGGACAAAGAGGCTTGTATTTAAATGATAATACATCTTCTACAACATGTGTTAATCACTGTTCTTGTTTATTTTTCTTTGGGGATGTCAGCTTTCATGTAGTCTGACTTAAGAGATGTTACGAGGGCTTCATGTTTGTAAATACTCCCAAAATGCACCACATGCGTGTGTATCCCTCCCAATATTGGAAGGTATGAGAATGTGACGGAGTGAGTAAACCGGGAAGGAGAGAAAGCCAGCGATGCAACTTCCATCCCTGGCGATGCCAATAATGGGCAGCCTTGCCTGAAAAAGTCCAGATCCAAACACTGAAGGGGCATGTCAGCCAAAAGCCTAAACCACATGTCATCTATACTTTTCTATTTTAATATGGAATAAACCTCTCATTTAACAACTACAAGACTTTATGGAGCTGCCCACGCTTAATAAGCAGGATGTTTTATGCTAGTATGAGCTGGGGACTACAGTGAGATGTCTGCAATATGTAGCATTTTTATCCTTTACTAAAATGAGAATTCAAAGCGAATTTTAAATTTGAACGCTGGAGTAGTTAAACTGAAAGTAGAGCAGATGTCGTGAATTTTTCCAGTTTGGCTATTTTGACCTTAAAGGACCACTATAGTGCACTGAGGGTGCCCCCACCCTCAGGGTCCCATTCCCGTGGCGCTGAAGGGGGAGGAATCCCTTACCTTTTTTCCAGCGCCGGGCTCCCTCCGCGCTGGGACTCTCCTTCCTCTTCTGATGTCCCTGAATGCGCATGTGCGGCAAGAGCTGCCCGCGCATTCAGCCAGTCTCATAGGAAAGCATTCTCAATGCTTTCCTATGGACGCTGGCGTCTTCTTCTCACTGTGAAAATCACAGTGAGAAGCGGTTGTCAATGAGACAGCCACTAAAGGCTGGATTAACCCTAAAGTAAACATAGCAGTTTCTCTGAAACTGCTATGTTTACAGCAAAAAGGGTTAAACCTAGCTGGACCTGGCACCCAAACCATTTCATTAAGCTGAAGTGGTCTGGGTGCCTATAGTGGTCCTTTAAGTTTGAAATTCACGTAGAAATCTCAATTATAGAAAAAAATATAGTGTTAGGAATACAAACCTATATTCCTAACACCGTAGTGTCCCTCTGCTGGCAAATAAGGGGTTAAAAAAACTACTTTTTCCCCCCCTTTCACCTAATTCCAGTGTCGATGTCCCTCGGCACTCTGATTGAGCTCTTACACCAACATCACAATCATTCGGAAACCTAATGAGCATGCATATTGCTACATAGGAAAGCTTTGAATCAGTGCTTTCCTAAGGGATTTTTCAAGACCCCGTCGTCAACGTCGTTTCGTGGAGATAAAACCTGTGAAACTACACGAAGTGCCTCTCGTAAACAGCCACTGGAGGCAGTCTTATCCCTGCAATGTAAACATGTTTTTAGAGCAACTAAGATTGCAGGGATAAGGGTACACTAACACTGCACCCAGACCACTTCAATGATATGAAGTGGTCTGAGTACCTGTAGTGTCCCTATTGAGTGGATAACTGTCATTCGTTAATACCATCTCAGAGTGAGAGCCCACAATAAAATAATCTGTGTATGTTGAAGTTGGCCACAACTAAATTTCCTTATTAAAAGCTTGTGCATCTCTTCCAAGGTGGCCACTCAAAAGGGAAAGTGATTGGCTGCACGCACAGCCTCTATATCAGATGTGACATTTGCACAAGACATTTGTCATTTGGGATTGGTAGCTGCTGCAGAATTACCACTGTGACCATGTTCTAGCTTGAACCAGAGGTATAGCAATAAAGCTTAGTGATCACTAAATACTCATCTAGGATTTTAGCTGTACATTTGCAAATTTTTTAGGTGAAAATGTCACCACTGAAAGGTGAGAAAGCAGGAGTTCGCCAGTCTGTTCATGAATGATCTGATATGGTGTCACTTTAAAGACGTAAATGTTTGATATACATTATTAAAGGGACACTATAGTCACTGAAACAACTTGAGGTTAATTAAGTAGTTTTAGTGTGTAGATCATGCCACTGAAGTTTCACTTCTCAACTCACTGCCAATTATGAGTTAAATCACTTTTGTTTCTGTTTATGCAGCCCTAGACACACATCCCCTGGCTGTGGCTGACACAAGCAAAATGGTTTCATTTTCAATCAGATGTTACTGTAAAAGCTTTAATCTCCTGCTCTGTAAATTGAACTTTAACAGCATACAGGAGGCTTCTGCAGGGTCTAGCAAGCTATTAACAGAGCAAGAGATAAGAAACTCTAAATTAAACAGAATGGTCAATACAGGAAGTATAAACATTAGATGACTCTTTAAAGGAAGTGTTTAGGAAGGATGTGCAGGGAGATGTGCCTAGGGCTGTATAAACAAAGTGATTTAACTCCTAAATGTCAGAATTGAGCAGTGAGCCTGCAGAGGCATGATCTATACACCAAAACTGTTTGATTAAGCTAAAGTTGTTTTGGTGACTATAGTGTCCCTTTAAACTATAATGTAATTCAAACTTCTTGACTATTGCCAGAATGCCACAGTGGCTGCACCAAGTATAGATGGAATAGATACAGGGGGTCAGCAACCTTTTTCCACATGAGGGTCAGGTGCATATTTGTAAATGGGCGAACAGGGTTTGGTGATTTTTCTGGATTCTCCAGGTGTCTGCAATCTGGTACCTTTTCAAAAATATTGCTAAATGAAAATGGGTGCTTACTGTGACCTGAACAACTTAAGATGAGTAGTTTTGACAAATTGTACTTTTGACTCTCCAGGATAGAGCTCCAGAACCGCTTTTAAAACAATCATAATAGGTGTTGAAATACGGCACTAGAACATTTTCTTTCCATGTATAGGAAAGTACTCGAACTTGTATTCATGTTCAGTTAACACAGATAACTGAATAGGGCCTCTAGCTGAGACAAAGCAGTTCACAATTCTGGCTAAAGCTTTCAGCAAGCTGTTTAGAGCCAATAATTGCAGTAGAGATTAGGCATTAGGGATTCTTAATTCCAGCTAACGTTTCTGTATTAATTTATATCCGTGGGAAGAATTAGTTTGCTGCCAAATACTATTTTATAAATATCACAAAGTTCCAACAAATGAACTGATGCTGTGCATGGCAGCCAGAATACAAACAAAATGGCCTACAGTAAATATTGCACAAAAAAGGTATAGGACAGTAGTGAGGATTATATTGGTAGGGGGTTAAAGCATACTGCGAGTCAGTTTCATAGTTTTAATAAACAAATTTAGGCCTCCTGGACTGGCAACTTTGTGGGTTTTTTTTTGTATGTATATACACAGCTACCCAGGAAGAGAGGATTCAATTCATAAAATGTAGATGTTAAATTACATATCTGGTTATTTGCCTTAACTGGGAATTGTGGTGAACTGATAAGGGAACTGAAAATCTTCGGCCAAAACCTGGTAAATAGAATGGTAGAATTTTTTTCAAAATCTGCTTTTATGACTTAAAAGTCCCTTGTTGGTTCTTCACTGTTTAATTAGCAATGTCCCCTTGACTTATTTGTTGGTCTAGAAGTGTATTTGCAGAGTAGCTTCAATTTTAGCGTGGGGATTCGGTATTACAGGATTAGCAGACTATATAACATGTGTTAAGATTTATGTGTAGGCCACTAGACCGTGACCTAATCTAAAGTTGGGAGGCTGATCACCAAGTACCAAATTGGATCCAAAATGCAAAAATTCTCAGTTATTCACTAAAATAATATCCCGAGTAACTATGGTGTGACTCTGAACGTGTGTGAGCCTGAAGAGTCCATCTGGAAGGTGGATCTTTGCTGTAGTAGTAGGTGGATTGGTAAAATCTCTACTTTGCTAGATCCCAAGGATTAACCTGTTGGGATGTCAATCGCCGTGACAGATTCATAGCTTACAAGCATCTACTTACAAAGCTGCTCGGTAGAACAGGAATTGTTGGACATTAGTGCCTTCTCTGGCATTTAATGTCATTTGATGTTTGACCTGGCTAGCTATATGTTTATCCTGACTTGATTAGTAATCCCCTGACTTGATTAGTAATATAGATTAAACTGTAAACCTTTGACATCCTAAACTTTGGCTTTTCATTGACTGTGTTTTGTGCTGTATACTACATTGCTTCCCTGAGGACTTGCCCAACTATTCTAAAGAACTGGTAAAAGGTGTGTTTGTGTATGTGTGTCTCTCGATATATTGACCAAAGTTCAGGAATGGACTGAAATGTTGATGAGTATCTGTATATCACTGCACAAAACAGCAGCAATTTTCAGCAAAGTTCTTGGAGTTTGCGCTATGCAGGTGTGTGTGTGTGTATATCTCTCTCATACGCACATTTTTTATTTATTGTTAGGGGTGGCATTTATATAGCGCCAACATTCTGCAGCGCCTTACGATGATATTATGACATGAAATTTAACAATAAATGAGACTAGTACAAAATGTTACAGGAGCAGAAGGTTGAAGAGGACCCTGCTCAAGCGAGCTTACAGTGTATGTATATATATATATATATAAATATATATATATATATATATATATATATATATATATATATATATATATATATATATATATATATATATATATATATATATATACATATACATACACACCAGGCTTTTTGTGTACATAGAAAAAGTCTTAGATTTTTGAGTTCAGCTCATGAAAAATGGGGTTGATCAAGCAACCTGTAAACCTTTTATGGATATATATCTTCTTTTGAGATGCAACTAGCCGCTCGCGAATCCATGAAAAGGATACAGACAGATATAATATGTATCCACCGGGGCAGACCGTGGAAACGACCAATGATAAAGTACACCACCTGTTAAAATGTACTAAATTGAACAGAATACCAATCTCTGATGTTTAATAAACATACAAAAATCAATCCTCAGTGCAGTGATACAAAGTGAATACATTTTATAATAAACAAATCCACAACTTAGTGTGGATACATCGTACATACTACTAATAATAAGACCCGAACATCGTAGCTCCACAAGTAGAATGCAATACTTACAGAACATGTGGAAGATAAATCCTAAACAATATATATAATATCAGCTGTATAGGACTCCAAGGTAGGGTCAGGCAAAAATAATGCTCCTAACATACCTGGATAAACATACCATGGGCCAGAAATAACTGGATTTACCACGACAGGGCAGTCACTATACAAACGATTAAATTTCGAGAATTGTCAAAAATGTGAATATAATACTGCTGGAAAAAGACATAAAAAAGCAAAACATACTGGTGTATATATTGTTACTCCAGTCCCCATAATAATTTCATGTAAAAAAAAAAAAAAGTACCTTTTTATGAATGGTACTACTGGCACCATGACAATCTCATTTAAATTAAGTTGTTATGGTGACTGGAGTGTTACTTTAAATATAAAATTTAAAAAAATAATAATTTAGTATCTGGAAACACCAAATACATTGTTTGCATCATATGAGTGCCGTGAGGCTGGAATTAATAAGTTTGACATATTCTTTGCTACAGAGGAACAGGAAGATGTTTCTGATATCCCATGACAAGCGATGTGGACTTTTGAAAACTCACAGAGCCTGTTCCTGCTCTGCCTCTGCCTCAGGTTGCAACCACACCCACTGCACAGCATTTTTTAAACTGTTGTGCCAGTATTGGAGATAGTCTGCTCCCCCTTCGCCTTGTGTAACTACGGCATGCAAACACACACTTTCTCTCATTTAGCATTTTTCATTCAATCTCATTATTAATAGCACTTTGCAGATCCAAGTGTCTGTCCTGGAGAACAGAACATTTTGCAGGTAATTCACAGTATTTTTTAATTTTCCTTGACTTCTAAGCCTAAACACAATACAACTGAATGAATGAATTGAGGAATGGATGATGATTTCTTTCAGTTTATTTTTTTTCAGACTGATGATGGCAGCCTAGCAAGCGATATACAGACTTCCCGTCTCATTTGTGAAGCTGGAGGGAGGGATACAAGGGCCTAGATAATGTTTGATACAAATGACTGATTTCATCATTCTTTATTGATACATCACATATGTTTATAAGTCACACAGCCTCCAGAAATATGTGACCAACAAAGGGCTAACATTGTGTGGAGTTCACAAAGGAGTACTGTATTTGATATGGCAGGGCAGAAAGAGTTAATTGTGTACTTGTTTTACAGTTTGATATACAGTCCTCCAACTCATGGTTCTCGGATTGTCTCTGAGCTTTATTGAGGCTCTGCGGATAGCAATACCCAGTGGCAAAGCGAGAAACTCATCGCGATTACCTACTAATGCTCTGACCACTGGTGACCAGAATGCTTGTACTGTACTCTATCCAGTGGGTTGAGGGAGCTTCCTTGTCTTTTGTTGCCTGTCTGTTTACACATAAAGACTAGATCACTTACCCCCCTAGCCACTTGCTTAACTTGTCACAAACATATTGGCACTAAGGGTGGCTATGGGCTCAACACTCTGGTTTCCAACTGTGTAGATGCAGTCTCACACAAGGTCCACACACTGTTTTATGTTTTGTCACACCTTTTTATAACACCAGTGTTTGCGTAAAAGGTGGGAAGACCTATTTATTACATTATCCAGTATCTAGTTGGTCATTAGGTGATGCCACTGAAGAAGTTGAGGCTGCTAGGCGAGTAGCTACAAGGTACCAGGTTGCTGCAGTAGCTTCGGTCATTGGTGGTATGGATAAAAGGCAAACCAGGCACACAGCACAGTCAACATATAAGCCTGTTGGTAAAAAGTTATCCCATTTGCTTATATAAATTGTTATTATCTACCTAACTCTACTTTCTAAAGTAGCTAATAAATGTAGCGGGTCTGTTTTTATGAAGAACCTTCAAAAATGTTTTACGAATTTAAGTCTTTCAGGGCTAGTTAAAATCGTCAACCTCATAGAAGCACCATCTCAAATGGAAAACCATTTACATATGATGTTGCACTGTGATGTCTCCTATGCGCTTTTGAGTATGTAATCCACCAATGGAAAGGTTTGAGGAATTGAAAAGGTTTTGGCGCAATACCAAGTTAATCATTTATACACACTCATTTAAAGGCATATTACTCTGTCACCTTGCTGGGAAGCTTTGTAATCTAGTCCTACACCAAATATTATGTGCTCATACAAAACGTGATACTAAGTAGGAAAGAGTGGCTAGGAGATTTGGGTCCTTAAGATGGAGTATCCCACCTAACTACACTGTACTTATACAACCCGTTTATTAGTGATATACTTCACATCTTAATTGATATGTCCTAATGCTATTGGCCTGTATATACATTATCAGTATCTTCATACCAACATCACAGATCTGTGCCTCCTACATTAGAGAATAGTTACTATTAATATGCAAATATTAACCTCAAACGTGTCAAAATTGTATGTCCAATCAGAATGTTTCTACAATATTATGTTTTCTTCTCATTCCCTCTGTTATATCAGAACATCATTCTCCCCCCTCCTATAATTTACCCTTAAGGTAAGTTGGCCCTTTTTCTCACATGCCTACCACTTGAAGTGAGCGCTATGATATTTTAGTTCATCCCAACTTCCCCTTCCCCATCCACCCACTCTTCCACTTTATCAACACTTCTGCCAATGTTGAGTTCATTACACTAGTTATAGAATAATGTTATAATTATATTCTCTATTTTTCTTGTGCTACAGATCATTCTACCGGTATGACACTGATGAATGGTGATGGAGAACACAAGCATGAGGCTGATGTGGAAACAAAACAGAATGGACATGATGCAGGAGAACCGACAGAAGATGGAAATGAGCAAGAAGTCATTGTTATCCAGGACACTGGTTTTTCGGTCAAGATACAAGTTCCTGGGCTAGAGATGTTTACTATCCAGGTAAAGCATTTGCTTTTGTGCATACGCAAAAGGAAATTCTCACCTTATAGTTGCAGGTTCCTGCGATGGTAAGAGTATGCGATTATCCACAATTTATTAATCTACAAAGTTGGTTTTGATATGTGGGTAATAATCACAGTGACTTTGCCTATAGGAATGTCAGTTCCACCATGTTTTCTTGAACACACATCACTTCTACATATTGATGGGTAGAGAAGAGTGCTGTCCTGCAGGGAGGGATTCAAGCCATACAGCACTGAGGAATCCTGCAGCCGATGTAATGTTCATACTACAGAGCAGCATGCTTCATGTACTGCCAGTCAGCATGAAGAAAAGATTTGTGTTCTGGAAAAACTTGGTGGATCTGTCTACCCTATTATGAGTATATGGGGCTACCTGTACCTTTGTATGTAGTCATTCGTTTAACCCATTAAGGACACATGACCTGTGTGACATGTCATGATTCCCTTTTCTTCCAAAAGTTTGGTCCTTAAGGGGTTAAATATTTGTACAAGAATAGAAAAACCCTGGGTTATTCTCAAGTGAAAAAAATAATCTGTAGGAACTAGCTGGGAATTAACACATTCGAACGAGTTAGTAAGGTAGCCACGAAAGCTTAATTTCCACCCCTATCTTGTTTCAAGATGATGTTTGGTTCTTGTACACATAGAAACATAGAATGTGACGGCAGATGAGAGCCGTTTGGCCCATCTAATCTTCCCAATTTTCCAAATACTTTAATTAGTCCCTGGCCTTATTTTATAACTAGGATAGACTTATGCCTACCCCACACATGCTTAAACTCCTTCACTGTGTTAACCTCTACCACTTCAGCTGGAAGGCTATTCCATGCATCCACTATCCTCTCAGTAAAATAATACTTCCTGATATTATTTTTAAACCTTTGCCCCTCTAATTTAAGACTTTCTTATTGTTGTGGTACTTTTTCTTCTTTTAAATATAGTCTCCTCCTTTACTGTGTTAATTCCCTTTATGTATTTAAATGTAATGTGCTCCTGTATATTACATTTAACATATTTCTGCCCATGCAGAGACCGCATCCTATCCCTTCTTGTGTGCAGGTCTTGAACCTCATGGTGCGGTACATATCCACAGCAACATGGAAGGAATGTCTAGACTACACATACACTTAAGCAATTTGCCTCTGCTGCTCTAATCACCCCAGTAAACATTTCAGTAGCATGTATTGGGGTTATGGAAGGGGCTCTGTCATTTTCCAGACATTAAAGGGACTCTCCAGTGCTACCAAAACATTCATTTTCCTGGCACTGCAGGACCCTACAGTGCCCCTCTCACTCCCACCCCCACATCCCAAGTCACTGAAGGAGTTAAAACCCTTTCAGTGACTTACCGGAGTTCCAGTGCCAATGTCCCTCGGTGCTGGGTCAGACTCCGCCTACTCTCCTCCTCGCTGTCAGGCGGCGGGGCAGACCTAATGCACATACGCAGCGTGAGGACGTGCGTCGTATAACACACTTTTCGTGTTCTAAGAACACTGAAGTCCCTCTAGTGGCTGTCTGATAGAAAGCCACTAGAGGAGGACTTAACCCTGCAAGGTAATTATTGCAGTTTGTAAAAGAGAAATGACCTTCTTGCAAGGGAAAATGTAATAAGCAGAAGCTGGTTTTCTCCCTTTAAGGAACCTCTCAAAAGTACCATAAAAATAGTTACATTTGCAAGGTTAAGGGTGGTGGGAGTTGGCACCCAGACCACTCCAAAGAGAAGAAGTGGTCTGGGTGTCTGGAGTGTCCCTTTAACCGTTCCCTTTAAAAAAGATAACTGAAAAATAGGCCTAGTTGCGGTTTCATATTAAAGGAAAATTATTTGTATGTTTGTGTTTTTAATTTTGACAGTAAAATTTGCAGATCATTTCCTGATGATACCAGGCCTGGCGATTAAACCTCATTACGTTGCAAGCCATGTAACCCCATCATGTAATGCAAATTTCTCTTTCCTTCTCCAGGTCTCTCCGCAGGAGATGGTGCAAGAGATCCACCAGGTTTTAATGGACAGAGAGGACACTTGCCATAGGACGTGCTTCTCTCTGCAACTCGATGGAAATGTTCTAGATAACTTTGCTGAGCTGAAGACCATTGAAGGCTTCCAGGAGGGCTCTGTGCTCAAGGTGGTTGAAGGCAAGTTTTTGATGTTCTTTTATTGTTCCTCTTTTTATAAAATTTCTCATTGTCTGAAACAAACATTTATTTATGTGATCATTTTGGGACTATTTTTATGGTACTTTCGAGAGGTTCCTTATAGGGAGAAAACCAGCTTCTGCTTATTACATTTTCCCTTGCAAGAAGGTCATTTCTCTCTCTTTTTCCCCATTGATTCTAGGGTGAGTCCAGTATTCCTCCTGTACTCCAGACACTAATACTACTTTAATGCATTTGATAGGTTTTGGCCTATATGCTGTATCTTTTTTTTTTACTTTTAATAAACGAATAAATGCTACACCATGAGCCTGCCTCCCTTGTGATGCCTCCTCATGCCAGAGAGACTTCCTTAGGTATACACACAGTCTGAGTCCAAATAGCACTGAGTGAGCTGCACAACCTGGCTGCAGACAGACAGAGAAACTACAGACAGGTAGTTGATATCCTTACTATATGTCTCCCTGGGTGTCCTCTCCTTCTAAAGCAGGTTGCTTTATTGTTCATATCATTCAGTACTGTCAGTGACTGAGCTGTGTGCATACATCTTATTATTATTTTATTATTTCCATTTATATAGTGCAAACAGATTCCGTAGCGCTTTACAATATTATGAGAAGGGGGATTTAACTATAAATAGGACAATTACAAGAAAACTTACAGGAACGATAGGTTGAAGAGGACCCTGCTCAAACAAGCTTACATTCTATAGGAGGTGGGGTATAAAACACATTAGGACAGGAAATAGCAATCAAATAAGGTGGGAGTGAAGCAGAGCTGGAGGAGAGAATAGAGTGCTGACCTTTAGGAGAGAGCAAGAGACAGGTATGTAGAGGTTAGTCTGGAAATGTTCTATAAGGAAGTGTCTCCAAGCAGGGGAAATGATAGAAGAATACAGGTGGACCAGAGATGGATATTACAGGGGAGTAACACCCACAAAACTAAGGAAATGGTGATGCTGGACCGGCGGTAAGATAATATGCACTGAATACATTGTGTGTCTCTGTAATGTGCGGTATGCATTGCATTTGTGGCTGATTTATGTTAAAGTAAACCTTTTGACACCCTCACTTTAATACATGTTTACTGGGTTCTTTAGGTTGAGACAACCTAAATCATCTCCAAATACACTGAATACTGAAAATGTAAAGGGACACTATAGGCACTCAGCTCATTGAAGTGGTCTGTGTGCATATTCCCAGGTCCATGAAAAGGTAATTATTGCAGTTTTTAATAAACTGCATTAATTACCTTTGTGTGGTAACCCACCTCTAGTAGCTGTCTACCAGACAGCCACTAAAGAGACTTCCAAGTCATTATGTGACTTTTGGTTCACTTAACTGATGCTGGACGTTCTCACACGATGCATGAGGACATACAGTGTCACCCGAAACCCCACAGAAAAGCATTGTAAAATGCTTTCCTATGCGGGCAGTACTAATGCGAGCGCAACTTTTGCCGCGCATGCTCATTAGGTCTCCCCCGCCAGCTGACGTGCCCAAGCCAGCGTCGAGGGCTATCACTGTTGGGCTCAGGTAAGTAACCCCATCTGTGCCACAGGGGGAGAGAGGGAAGGGGGGGCATTATAGGGAACTATAGTGCCAGGAAAGCCACTTTTGCCTTTAAATCACAGTGTCTTGTTAGATTTGACCGCATACTGTTCAGGTTGCACTTGCTATACGCTTCTTACAAATGACTATGCAAGGCAGTGCAGGTTCACACGTACTTTATTCTCTCTACATCTGTTAAATGGAAGTATTGCTGGTAAGTAGGATTAGACTTTACAGCATTACTGTCTGGCTTAAAGGGAAAAAAATACTGGATTTATACAGGACTTTCTTTAGTTTGCATGTGGCATTGTCCATTTCATTGCTTATCAATAATCTTACAAATACTAAACAGGCTGAATATGTATCTGATCCACTCAGGGTTAAATTGTAAGTGCTTCAGGCAAAAAGTTAGTATTCATTCTGGGTATTTTACTTACAGCTGTTCTCAGAAGTAAAATTTATTTTAAATGAGATGTACCAGTTCTAACGTGCATCAGAATAGATCTGTCTAGAGATCTCCTGTATATATTAATGGATGTTCCTATAAAATTCAGTAATAAACAAGTTGCTTAAAACTTATAACCCCCGCCTGAGAGATGGTCATTCTAAATGAAACTCTTACAATTTTTGGTATATTACAGGTGAGGGCAACATTGAAAAACAAACCTCCAATAAAGACCTGATAGTCCAGCCAGTTAGTAAGGGCAAAGATGATCTTTATAGTTGTTACAGATTGTAGTTAATTATTTACAAGGTTAAATCGTTTGCCTTGGATATACTGCGAAGGTGGAAAATCCCATTAACAAAGCCTTTTCCAAACACTCCTCTTAATTGACTGAATCTGGAAAGATTTCACTCTACTGAAGATCATCAGTTCTTCTCAAAAGCAGCTCAGGTGTAATCACAATAGAGGCGGGTTATCAAGACAAAAACAGGTGTTATTCTGTGGCAAAGCACTAAATGAGGAGAAATCGCCATGGAAACCAGTAGAATCTTTATCACCTTGTTTGCTTTCATAAATCATCTCCTACGATGGCTAGTCACAGAGATCTCCACTATCCCAGTACAAGAATATCGCTTGTCTAATCACCTCCCTTTGATATACTATAAAAGCTCCTCATTTGTATCGGACACAGCTACATACTTGCTTTCTTTAATACGACATGTACACAACTTTTAGTATTAGTGTTTTTCAAATCTATTAATAGGCCTGTTTTTTTTTTTTTTTAAATATTTTATATACACACACAGCTGCGTCCATAAATATGATTAAGATACTAATTAACTTTCCTGTGATAAAAAAGCCCTTGATTGACACTCTGCCACGTTTTTGGATCCCAAGGACAGGTTTGTTGCCTTCATTAGCACCACTCAAAGATCCATTTTGCTGACTTACAAATCTAGAGTCCTTTACAAAGTTAGTTGCACCTCACACTAAATACTTTGCATGGACTGCTTATAGAGTAAACATGGTAAACCGAACAAGGACTGTTGCATTTTATTATACAGGGCTAATTGCTTTTTTTTTTTTTTTTGTATTATAGTTATCATTTGGAATTATTACATCTCCATCATGTACCATTGACTCAAAGTTGTGCTAGTTTTATGTTGTCTCAGCTGATTTGTATAACTCTACAGAGCCATACACCGTGCGGGAAGCCAGGATCCATGTGCGTCATATACGAGACCTCTTGAAAAGCTTGGACCCATCTGATGCTTTCAACGGCGTGGAGTGCAATTCCCTTTCCTTCTTGAGTGTGTTCAGCGATGGCGACCTTGGAGGTATGAGGGCAGTAATGTAGAAGGCCTTCCTGTTAGCAACTGCATTCCTTTACTTATTTGTGAAGCCAGCAATTAAAGTATTGTTGAATTATCAGAAATTGTTCTTTGATTCCTCCTATTACAACATATCAAAAAGCTGGACCAATATGTTTGCCTGTATGGCTGGTAACATCACAAGGGACACTGTACATCAAGGGTGTCAAAAAGGTCAACCCCAGATGTTGTAGAATTACAACTCCCATGATGCTTTGCAGGCCTTTAGAATGACAAAGCATCATGGAAGCTGTAGTTTTAAAACGTCTGGTGATCTACCTTTTGGGCACCCCTGCTGTACCTGAAGTTCATTGTGTGCAGCACAACATATGCATGCTGTTAGTGTCTTAAATTATGCATACAGGTTATGTTGAACCTGTACTGCAGCCATTAAAGGAGCCCTTCAGCTTGCTAAAGTGCATTGTCAGGAGCATTGCATTTTAGCTGCAGTTTACTAAAGTGCTGATTTTCTATTTCAAATATGCACTTGTATAAATAATTGCAGAAACACCTCCTGGCTGTCAACCAGCCAGCAAAGAGAAGGTTATCTTTCCGATTCCAGTAGCTATTGGAAGTGTCAGGTGGTCTCTGCTAAAGCGTGCCTTACTTCGTCACTTTGTGCTTGTGAGTGATTTGGAAAAAATGCCTGTACATTCTTCTTTTAACAACTTTATTCCTGTAAGAAAAACAAAACTGGTTTCAGTGAATGTGCCAAATAGTTTAATTGTTTCTCTTTTATGAATGAGTGTTTGTATGGAACATACACTGCTTTCCCACTGAACACACCGGGATGCATTGAAAGGTCGCTGGCCCTTTTTGTTTTGTTTTTTCCCACTCTGTTTTGAGATTTAGTAGAAGTTTTAAGTGTCTTTAGATTATCGTACAGTATTTTTTTTATATAACCTCTGTGAACCTATTGTGTGGCAGTACAATTGCTTTATAGAAGACAAAACACATGATTTGCTGGAACAAGATTCTTAATGTAAGGAAAAAATGATTGTGAGATTTTTGCTATCAGCAATTGACAAAGGTCTTTGCTGACAAAAATGATCAGTGAATTTCTAATACTACTTTTCAGCGCAATTTGAAATAAAATAAAAAATTTGTTAAATTTATCACTTCCACTGTCTACTTGTGTTGTGGTTAAGCCACTGTATATGTTTGCTTTGGATTAAGCAATTTTTCCTTGAATTTGTCCCTATATAGATAGTGGAAGAAAGAAAAAGAAAGGAGCGGATATTGAACAGATCGATTGCACTCCTCCTGAAAATATCCTGCCCGGAAGCAAAGAGAGACCTCTATGTCCGCTTCAACCACAGAACAAAGACTGGAGGGTAATATTACTGAGCCACGTGTTATGTCTCATATTGTGCTGCAAAACACCTGATAAAAATAGATCCAAGGTGAAATTAATTTGAGATATGTTATATGGAAAATACCCTCACCCTCGATTGACACTTCCAAACCTTGGAGAAGAGAGGCAAAGTAATAATTCACATTTATATGCAGTATGGTACTATTTCATTAAGAAAACTGGCTTTATAACTCAAATAGTCAAAGAACTGATCATGTGGCTGCTGGTCCATGTATAATGCATACAGACCCGATTAGAAAGCTTAAAGTAACATTCCACTGAAATTGTTTTAACAACTTGGTAGATAAACCCCCATATAAAACATGCCTATATTTTGTCTGCATGTTTTCTTTGTAGGCATGTGGGGAGGGGGGGGGAGAGAGAAACGGCTTGCAAAAGCTGCAGTATGCAACCTTTTCAAGCCCTCCCCAATATCCTAGGCTCAGTCTGTGCCAGGATATACACCAGTCAGAGGCTTCCTTTTGAGATTGTAGAAGGGGGTAAGTCAGACATTCAGTAGATTAGAGCACCTGTCACTTGTTAGATCTGTGAAGTGAACGAAAGCTGAATACAACCTCCCCGGTTGTCTGCCTCCAATTAGAAGTGTTGATTTCTGTTGAAATTAGCACTTTTTTTTTTAAACTGTCTAACAATCTGTCAGCACCAAAGTTACAGTTTAGTGGATAAGGGAGTGCGCTGGATTTTTATTTTTATTGTACTCATGGGCTCCCAGCAGCACCCTATTTATGTTTAGGTGAGTGCAGCCAGCCCCTTGTTTTAGCATTTAAAATGGGGCACTCCACTGCCAAATTATTGATTTTCTCATCCCTCCTGGGTGGTATGTTTTCATTACTCATTCTCAGGTCCTCTACCAGAGGCCTGGGAGTTTGAGGGTTTGCGCAGTATCTTACAGGTTCCTAGAACTGCACTCTTCTGGACAGCAATCTCAGGTGTTCCATCTGGAATCTGTTGAAGCCACTCCCCCAACTTGGGAGTCACAGCCCCGAGTGCTCCTATCACAACTGGGACTACTACTGCCTTCACATTCCACATTCTTTCTAGTTCTTCCTTAAGTCCTTGGTATTTCTCCACCTTCTCATGTTCCTTCTTCCTGATGTTATAGTCACTGGGTATTGCCACACCCACCACGACTGTAGTCTTCCATTCTTTGTCTACCACCATGATGTCGAGTTGGTTGGCTAGTACTTGCTTGTCTATCTGGATCTTGAAGTCCCACAGGATCTTAGATGGATATGTAGAGATTGTAGACGTATTAGTCCAGTGATGTAGATGTAAAAAAACAGATACAATTCATATCTTGTGATACATTTTTTTTTTATTGGACTAACAGAACTTTTTATTGACAAGCTTTCAGGAGAACATCCCTTTCTCAAGTATAAAGCATTTCTGAGCAAGATGATACACAGAATTCAAAGTTGAATTGGGATACAGGGGTTAAAGCAACATGAGTACAGGTAAGACACAGGTTTGATAGAAAATAGACACCATTCTCGCAGAGGGTCGTAAATATCTTGTGTGAAGATCAGAGTGAGGGGGGAGAGAGAAAAAAAAACAAGTGAACTGCAGAAGATGGTGCTAGAAAGGGAGAGTAAAAACAAAATAATTACTTGTATAAAAATTCATGCATTTCTCACCTTCTGGCACCATCTTCTGCACTGCTTGCTTCTTTTTTTTTTTTCCTCTCTCCTCCCTCACTCTGTGATCTTCACACAAGATATTTACGAACCTCTGCGAGAATGGGGTCTACTTTCTATGAAAACTATGTCTTGCCTGTACTCATGTCGCTTTAAACCCTGTATTTCAATTCATCGTTTAATTATATGCATCATCTTGCTCAGAAATGCTTTAGACTTGAGAAAGGGATGTTCTCCTGAAAGCTTGTCATTAAAAAAAGGTATCACAAGATACAATTTTTGTTTGTATGTATATATATATATATATATATATATATATATATATATATATATATATATATATATATATATATATATATATATATATATATATATATATGTATGTATATATGTATATATATATATATATATTGTTATAGTAATTTTTTTATTTTTTTTATTTTGACTTAATGTCAGCGTCACTTAATTAAAGCTATATCTGACAATTGTCTTATTGCAGCCTTTGCAGTGTCTAAAAGTTCTCACCATGAGTGGCTGGAACCCTCCGCCTGGCAACAGGAAGATGCACGGAGACCTGATGTATATCTACGTTATTACCATGGAAGATCGGCACGTCAGCATCACTGCTTCCACCAGAGGATTCTACCTCAATCAGTGAGTGTCTGTCCTGCAATCTAATGTAAAGTCCGCTTAGCTAAAACCGTGTTTATTTTAGGTAGAATGAAATTGTGAGCCAATATGACCTTGATTTTAATATCAACACACTTCTCTGATTGCCCCATTCCAAGAACACAAGCAATGACCATAATGTATTAGAAGTATCTGTACTGCTCCCTTTTTTGTTTTTTACCTGCGTCACTCTTTCTCATCAAGATTATAGTCTGTAGACTTTGTCAACATGGATTGCCCTGCAGATTTGACATCATCCATTCCGTATAGCCCTGTTTTCAATAAATGGGAATAAACTAGATATTCTGAGAATGTGGTTACGTAGTGTCATGATAGACTGTTTTTTTTTTGTTCTTTTTTATCCTTGCTTAAATCTGCATTGTGTTTTAAGAAATTTCAAGTGGCAAATATATGATCTGAGAAAATCAAACTTCAGCTTAGCTGCAATTGGATAATGTCTTAAACACATAGTATGTTGTAGCTGCTGTAGTTCCCCTATTTACCATTATGAAGTCTCAAAGCAGAGAATTTAGCAGCGCTAACCGCACAGATATCTTTAACTCTCTTATATTGTTAGTACAAGATTATATAAAATATATAAATAATACAATAAACAAATAGGGATTGTCTTAGAAGCAATAGTTTTCTTTTAAAATATTTTATTAAAATATGAATAAATATAGTCATATAAAAACTTGATAATTATAATAATTTACAGCAGAGATTATATGATTAAAGTAAATGCTTGCTTGCAGTATCCATAAATGTCAATCTCTAAGCCTTGTAAGATGCAGCGGCATCAATTCTTTCCTTTGTGTGTGATAGTACACATATTTATACCATAGATTTTCACTTAGGTCATGTTTAGGAAAATAGAAAAACAAACCTAATCTATCTCAACTTGACCATTAAATGACAAAGCCTTGACTTGGTCATTTCACATGGGGACAACTTAATCAGTCTATTGTCATAAGCTATACATCCTAATCGGTTTGGACTAAATCCTTTTAGGTGGCTTTCCTTCCCTCCCCGCCTCCCGTTGATGTCACACTAACCTAGGGCAAGATGGCATTTGTACGAGAATCAATGTTTCAAACAACATGTTTGCTACATCTCTTAAAGACAAAGTACACCGTTTAAGAAATACAACTTTTCATTCTAAAAAACCTGCAATATTTGATAATGTCCATAACAATGTGAACGTATAGCAAGCTTAATACACCACCATTCTTCCTTTTGCCTCTAATGCACATAGTCGGGGAATTGGCTCTTGTTTGTGTGCTTTTTGCAGGTTGTTTAGAGGACCGAAAGTCTCCAATCAATTTTAATGTATTAGTTGTGATGTTCTTGCTTTATATGTCCTCGAGATATTGTTAAAGTTTGTTTGTTTTGATACGCCTTTCTAGAACAGGAAGAGCAAAAAGTAAATATGACATTAGCGGCATGAAATATATAACCTCAAACAAACATAATCTCCAAAAGAAATAATAAAAGAATGTGAGAACGGAACAGAGCCACCAAAAGTGAAGCACATGTATTGCCCAAACCCAACCAAACACGTTCAAGTATTCGTGTTATTTTAAGTGTCATATCATTGTACGTGTGTTGTAAAAACCTGGAGCGCTTGGCTTGCAAATCAAGACAATATTTTCTGATTACGCTAAGTGAGTGAGCTACCTTTTTGGCACTCCAGATGTTGTGGACTAAATCTCCTATAATGGTCTTACTGCCATAATGCTGGCAAACCATCAGGGGAGGTCTCCAGCCGTTTTTGTTCCAACTCTCCCCTGAGTAATGGGTGTGCGTCGTGACACTTGGAATCCAGTAGCTGCAGGAGAATCAAAGATTGGTATCTCCCAGCCAGTCATGTTTATTAATCCATTTTTTTTTATCAGACCAAACCCAACTTTACAATTTAGCATAGGGCTAAATTTAGGATGGCTTCTCATGCTGAAAGTCAGCTGTATTATTTGTTGCAGGATGTTGCATTGAAACATTATCCCTTTTTAATTATTTTGTGTTTTCTGCCCTGCCCTTTTCGTGGCAAATTAATTTGTTTGAATTTTCTCTCATTGTGGGCAATGTATTAAACTTCACCAAGCCAATTAAATGCAGAGTGCTTGACTGTACGGCCCTGTTCCCATTTTGCTTTTCCAGATCTACTGCTTACAGCTTTAATCCTAAACCAGCCAATCCCAGCTTCCTCAGCCACTCCCTGGTGGAACTGCTGAATCAGGTCAGCCCTACGTTCAAGAAGAATTTTGCTGCCCTACAGAAGAAAAGGTAAAACCAGATTTCATTGTTAATGGCTCATAAACCTCTACTGTTTTCTGTTTGGCTATATGAGCCTCACATTTGAAATACAGCTTGAATTCCAGGCTGTTGTGACTTTAAACCTTAATCCTCAATTGTTGTTGCTTTTATGCATTAACACACTCTTTCACATATATGTACCAACACCTGGATGCATCTACATAAGCGTTTTATTTAGCAGAATTGGGTAGGGATGAGCATTCATAAGATAAGGAAGTGGTTTCTTTAGAAAGGCACAGCTGTTATCATTCTAGCTCTTTTCCGTCCCCATTATAATGAAGATGCTTTTCCCACGGAAATAATGGGTTATTATTGAAGTGGCAAAATGTAAGGGGTGACATGCTGTGTCACTGGAGAAAGTGAAAGAAATGTTTCATGTTGGGGAGGCAGGATTGATGACTAAGGTTCTGGAAGTTATTTAATGGGAGGGTGGGAATAAATATGCTGCATCAAGTCTACAACTGCTCTGTCTAGGAATGGCTCCTTTTTATGTGTATATTTAGAACCACGTGATATCAAGAATTAAAGGTGCACATAAAGCACTTATGCTGTTTGGAGTCTGCAGTATTTGTAACAGTTGATTAAAGTGCTGATTTTCAAGAAAATTCAGCACTTTTATAAAAACTCGCCAAAAAGTGTCCCCAGCTGTCAGACAACTGGGGGTGACTTCTTTTGTTGTGCTAGAGCAAGCTTGCCTCCCCCCTTCTCAATAAGTTGCACTGTAGCCAAGTAGAAACATTACAAAGTCGCTTGTGTAAGCCTCTGCTTTATTCCCCAGCAGGTGTCTTTCGGGGTATATTTACTACATTTTTAAAGAAAAGGTTAAATTCAGTGGACTGTTCCTTTTAATGTGCGCACTGCTTTTATAGAAAGAATTAAAACTAGATGCAGACTCTAACCTGCATTAAACCTGATATTTAACCCCTTAAGGACCAAACTTCTGGAATAAAAGGGAATCATGACATGTCACACATGTCGTGTCCTTAAGGGGTTAATTATCTGCTGAAATATTATAGTAAATTATATAGTGCCAACATATACCGCAGTGCTGTATATTTAGCAGGAAATCACATCTGGGGAAGGCTATGGTAAAGCGGTTTCTGTAAGAAGCTAGCAATTCTACTTTCTATGTAAAAATTTGCATTAAGGCTGTTTTGGGAAATTTTGGACACGGTTTGTTTGCCCGTGCGTTCATTCTGATGTCAAAACCTTCACTTTTATTTTGCTTGTAGAGCAGTTGATATGGAAATAGTTTTTCCCATTTATTTTTATAAACCGCATTGCTCGACACATAGGCAGCCTGTCATCTGGGCACATGATTGTCAGGATGATACGTCCCTCTTCAGATAGGAACATTGTCCTTAACACCCAGTGTTTCACGGTCACTCACTTTTCAGCCTTGTAGTGTCATTCCATTTCATTTTAAACATGCAAAACTTAGTAGATCTTATCAAAGTTTATCAAATGTCCTTTTGCAATTTTAAAAATGGTGTGATTTCCTGAATGCAGCATGTGCTCTTCTCATTGTGTAAGGAGGTCCCTTTTTTCCAGTCTGCAATGTTAATTCTAACTTCAGTAATTTGCAAGAATGCCTCTTGTGACTGATTTTCAAGAGTTTTCTACTAAATTTGTGTAACCGTACGCTATCAGAGTATTAGTACACTAATGTACACTAACACTCCTTTACTGTTATGAAGTTGTCTACTTCACATATAAGAGCGAGTTTGCAAGGAATTCTACATGGGTAGAAGAGCTTACAGGTTTGCATCATCATGTCTGTGCTACACCTGCTTTAAAGAATATGATCCTTTGTTCTCAATTGGCATAGAATTGTTTCAGAGAGAGTTTGCCTTAGAAGTTAATAACTCCACCACGACTCAGACCATATAATGGGCATACGCCCATACTTAAATTCTATAGCATTGGTTCATTAGAGCCATGAACGCAATCTGTTTATTAGCTCATCACTATGTCCTATAAACAGCTTTTGTTTCTCCAAATTTCACATTATAATTTGTTCCTGAAAATTGTAAACTAATTTTATAATGAAAGGCTGTTTTTATAGGATTTTAAAACCCTGTTGGAGTCCTTGTAATTAACTGCTATGTTACAGTACAGGGTTATTGCTGTCCGTTTGTTTTTTTGTAGTTGTGTTTTTTTGTGTTTTTTATAAAAAAAAAATTATTTACAGTATAAATTTTATTTTTTTCTTGAATTTTGATTCATAACAAATCCATTCCTGTGTGGTGTTCTTGTTGAAGTGCACTCACAGGACTCAATAATATTTCTAATCGTGCTGTTTATTCAAGCATCAAGTAATACAAAGAAGTGTCAACGTTTCAGTCCTTGACGGACTTTTTGTGTGTGTGTAAATATATGTATGTCTGTCACTTTCCACGTGTCCCGCACTCACTGCTCCCGGTCTTGTTAATGCCTCGGTGCAAACTCCGACCATAAGTATATATAGGTTCTTGTTGAAGTGCACTCACAGGACTCAATAATTTTCGGAATACAATAGTGTGTGTGTGTGTGTATGTATGTGTGTGTGTGTATATATGTATATATCTATCTATCTATATCTCACACACACTATCTCATGTGTAGTAGTATCAGTATTGTTTTTTTTTGTTTTTTTTCTTTTTTGTTTTTCTGATAAAAGGATCGATCTTAAAACATGATTAACCAGGAAGAATACATTGTGTTTTACATGGTTTATGGTAGTAATCAATGGAGAACTGAAATAATTAGGTACACTCTTTTTGTTGAAGGATACAAAATGAATTTAATGCAGTCCTACGTGCGTGGTGTTTTTGTTTTGTGTCTGTTAATTTATTTTTAATTAAAATGGTTGCTTTTAAAAACAAGTCTACTTCCAATCAATAGCACTTTTTTAGCTTCTCCATTGTATTCCGAAAATGCATAAAAGTCCTATGACCAGAGATTAAACACGAGCAGAGCGAAGTAGATGTTAAAATAAAATCCTGGGCATTCTTTATAAGAAGCTTTTGTGGGGCACTTTGCTCTCCAGTAAGATAATATCCCCTCTTGTGTACAAGTTTAAGTAATATATGACCATGTGGTGTGATGCATTGTTCTAGAGTTCAGAGACATCCTTTTGAACGGATTGCCACACCATTCCAGTTATACAGCTGGACTGCACCCTTAGTTGAACATGTGATGGACTGCGTCAGAGCGGAGGATGCCTACACATCTCGTCTTGGTTATGAAGAGCACATCCCAGGACAGGTACCAATTGTTCAAGCTATTTTGATACTTGTGTAGGAGACAGGCTGGGCAGTATAGAGGATGTAGCGCATAACAGCAGATGTGTCAAAGGCTTGCGCTAGCTGAGATATTACACGGTTGATCAACAATAATCAGCCACATTCTATTTGGCATTGGTCAAATGCTAAGCAGTCATGCTTACAGTTGCAGAAAAAAAGCCTGAAGTAAGCGATAATTCATCTTCATCTTTGCAGGGATCCTGCAGAATTTTTGAGTTATGTATTGGCCTGCATAGCTTAATGATTCACTGGTTGTATTCGCCAGCTTTTGGGATGGGATTTAAAAGAACTTCGTATTACACGCAATGACTCTTTGTTTCAACAAAAAAAACTGATTGTGATTATTTCAGACCAGAGACTGGAATGAAGAACTGCAGACCACGAGAGAATTGCCACGCAAAAACCTGCCAGAAAGACTCCTGCGTGAGAGAGCTATTTTTAAGGTATTGCACGGAATACCCTATTTTTATAGGCGAAGATCTGGGGCAAAGTACAACATTTGCATAGGAAACTATGGATTGCTTCTGCCTATTGCACCAAATGCTCTTATATGATTTGTCTCACCCAAAAAAAAAGTTTTATCCGTAATTTTTCTACAGAGTTTTCATTTTGGGAGTTTACCTGTGTGTGGTTGATCTTGCTAATGATGACATAATGGATGACTGTGCAGGCTAGCATCGTTATTGTACACTGTGCTCCTATAGGAGTGGTAGGCAACCTTTGGCGTTCCAGATGCTGGACTTCATCTCCCATGATGCTTTGTCCGCTTGGCTGTAAGAGCGTTCTGGGAGGTGTACTCCAACATCTGGAGAGCCAGAGATTGCGTATCCCTACTTGGTATTGTTGCTGATGTCTCAGAACTAATGATTGTAAAGCTGTGGATAAACCCAATCGTGTTTGTGTTGAACTCTTGTCAAATGACGGAGTAGTCATGTTTGACGTACGCCACAAATGCCACGGCAAATTGCATAGAAATCGGGATAGCTATTGCAAATATACATATGTTGTTGGCTTTACCCGTATTGTAATTGTTTTTGTAATTTAACCTGTTTCCTTTAGTGCTTTTTATTTCTTTTTCTGTTTTGTCTTTATTGGATTTTTTGTTTCTGCAATAAATGTATATTCTTCGAGTGCTATAAAGTTCTAGTGAAGCTGATTTAGTATTAAGCAAAAATAGCTCACTCTGAGTTATTCATCAAAATGAGAACTAAAACTGAACTTAAGGCCAAAATCAAAGAACTGGAAATGTTCTCCAAGTCCACTATCCTTTCACATTTGAATTCTAACTTTACTAAATAATCATGGAAGTGGGAACCGCTCTAAAACCTATATCTCTGTCCTATGATCATTTTATTTTATCCACCGTGCACATCACAGTTTAAAAATTCAATTAATCTAAAAGGTGTCATGTGATCTTTTTTTTAAATTATTATTTTTTTTTTTTAAAGGTACACAGTGACTTTGCTGCAGCAGCTACGAGAGGAGCCATGGCAGTAATTGATGGCAATGTCATGGCCATAAATCCAAGTGAGGAGACAAAAATGCAGATGTTTATATGGAACAATATCTTCTTCAGCTTGGGTTTTGATGTCCGGGATCACTACAAGGATTTTGGTGGTGATAGTGCTGCCTATGTGTCTCCCACAAATGACCTTAATGGGGTACGGACATACAATGCTGTAGATATTGAGGGGCTGTACACCCTTGGGACAGTGGTAGTGGATTACAGAGGTTACAGGGTAACGGCACAATCTATAATCCCTGGAATATTGGAGCGAGAACAGGAACAGAGTGTTATATATGGTTCTATTGACTTTGGCAAGACTGTTGTCTCGCATCCAAAGTATTTGGAGCTTTTGGAGAAGACCAGTCGGCCACTCAAGATCCAGAAACACAAGGTCCTGAATGATAAGGATGAGGAAGTGGAACTGTGCTCTTCGGTTGAATGCAAGGGTATAATTGGCAATGATGGACGCCATTATATCTTGGACCTTCTACGGACTTTCCCTCCAGACCTCAATTTCCTCCCTATTGAAGGAGAAGAAATGCCAGAGGATTGTAAGAAAATGGGGTTTCCTAAGGAGCACAGGCACAAACTGTGTTGTCTACGCCAGGAACTGGTGGATGCGTTTGTAGAACACAGGTAAAACTAAATACATTTTATCCTGAATTACACTGATAATAGATATCCTACAGGGAACTGTTGTGTTTTCCCCATACACATGATGTGGCAAGCATATATTTTCTTTTCTAAGAGTAAATTGTTACAGAATCTTTTATGCTCTGTACACAATTAATCTGAAAGTGATTACCATGTAGAAGAATAGTGACTGCCTTGAAGTAGGCATGGAGTGTTAAACTACAACTCCCTTGATGCTTTGCATACTTTTGGAATGCTTTTAGAATGGCAAAGCATCATAAAGCTGTAGTTTTTAAAACATCTGGGGATCTTCCTTTTGGGCACCCCTATTCTATTAGTTTTCTGCTACACGAGATACTTTAAAGCAGCAGTCTGTGCAAACCCTGTGTATGTGTGTCTGAATAGCACAATCTCAACACATGTCTGTTCCTGTTTGCATAGCTTTCCCTGTTACAGGTGAAATCCTTACTTCTTACCTAGCAAGTTTGCACTGGAGATATTTACTTGTGCCAATGCTTCTCAAATCTGATGTAAGGTGTCAAAATAAATCAATGTGGGATATCTAGCAATGATCTGTTTTTGTGCATCTGCAATAGGGTACATTTTGTTTTGGTTGCAATATTTGGTTTAATCAATGGTAATAACCAACATTTAGGTTTTCATTGTTAAAAAAAAAAAAAAAAATAAAGCAACAAAAAAAACAAATTCTTCACTCCCCCCTCCTTCGCGTAATGTTCTTACCGTGTTTCCATGGTAGCTGCATCTTTTAAAGTGGGATGGTGATTTTATGTCGCATCTGTAGGTTTTGGTGACTGTGCTTGAACTGTATCGTGGCAAACCTTTGCTTTCCACATTCACATAATAAACACTGCCATTTATGTTGAAGTAATAGGAGGTAAATGTAGGTCTACAGGCTGTATAAATGAGGACAGTAATACCTCTGCTTAGAGAGACTCCAGGTTCCATGTACCAAGCACCAAGCCTGCCAAGTTCAGGGTTTCATCATTAAAAAGCTTTGATATATCTTAATTCAGTTGGAACTCACCATTCGGAAAAAAACTAATTTCTCTTTTAGATGTTGGTTCCTCCACTCTACTTCTCCCACAAGAGTTAGTTGATCTCTAATCCAGTGGCAAGAAGGTCCATTGCTGCAGCTGTTGGGAGGCTAGGTTCATGTTACCTTTTTATACTGACGGTCTCCTGGAAACCAATGCTTCTCTATGAGAAGCCCTTATACTTTGTGCAATCGCCCATGGTGGGTGAGTGAGGAAGGGCATCCTGGGTGCAAGCCAGAAATCTTTTGATATCTACATTTTTCTGAAGAGAGGACACGGTTAACTCCCAAAACACTTAAACAAGCTGAACTGCCTTGGTGGTTTGGAATGTTTCTTCAAAATGTTGAAGATTCTGCAGATCGATATGAAGCGAGGTTGTTTTTCTAACGCGAGAACTTCATAAGAATGCTTTTATACAAAAATTGTTATAAACTAGTTGAACAGTTGGTGGCTTGGTGTTGGACCTTAAGCTCTAGAAGGCTGTACATTGTGCATATCTGATAGTGATTCTTAACATGATTAGTGTTGCTCTTATTTAACACAAGATGCACCTTTTACAAGAATTCAAATACACAAAATGGGAAGTGGTTTTTTTTTTCTTTCTTTTTTTTTTCTTCCCAGAAAGGTCTTTAATCTGTTCATATTTATTATTTACCAAATATTTTTTGGTCTTTAATCTGATCGTATTTATTAAATTGGGTTTAAAGTGAACTAGAAAGGGTTGGGCTTTCCCTACCTAAATTCTGCCATTTTCCCCTAAAATATCCTTCTTAATAAAGACCAAATTTAGAGCGGTAGAAAAAGAGAAATTAAAGGGAACACTTTTCTGGTGGAAAAAGTGACAAATTGAATCACTGGAGAAAAAAAAAGACATTCATTCCACTTTGATAAAGTCAGCAAAAATTGATATGCAGTCGTCAATCCAGTGTTTTTATTCTTCCCAGATACCTCCTGTTCATGAAGATGGCTGCCATGCAGCTGATGCAACAGAAACCTTCCGTACAGGAGAACGCAGGTGCTTTGGAAAATGGAAGCTCGCCGTCAGAAGCTTGTAATAAGGACGAGCAGGCAGAAGCTGCCAAATCAGAAGATAATTCAGAGAGCATTGACGATCCAGAGGCCAAGCTCAGAGAACTGGAGGAAAGCATTGAGGCCCATAATGAAACGGGTATTTGGTTATAATTGGCACACTTTGTGGATTTTAGTTTTAAATGTTTTCATATGTTCTAAAAGTGAGATGCAGAATCTGTGATACAAGTGCTTGTTTTAATAAGTAATCTCTACATAAAGCAGTCTTCTCTATATTTCTGTATATTTCAAATGTTACAATCCGTTGAATTGATCTTCTTCTATAAAAGGTTTTTAAAGGCAAACCCAGAGTACAAAATTTCCACTTTTCATTTGCAATTAGAAATTCACCCCCAGTACATGTGCCATGGACTTTGATGTAGTTTTAGTGTATTGATCATGTACCTGCTCAATTCTCTCCCATTTAGGAGTGAATTCACTTTTTATGTTTATCTTTATGAACTCCTAACCACATCTCCCCTGACTGTGACTTTCACAGTCTGCAATAAATAAAATTAAAATAAAATAAAAAAGATTCATTTTCAATCAGACTTTAATTGGCTTTAGAAGTTTTTATTTCCTGCTCTGTAAATTAAACTTTAATCACACACATACTCCTGCAGGGTCTAGGAGGCTATTAACAAATCAGGAGATAGGATATCTGTGCAGTAAGGGAATCTAGAACATCCAAGTTACTTTTAAGGAAGTGCTAAGAAAGGCTGTGTGACTAGGACTGTATAGACAAATTGATTTAACTCCTAAATGGCAGATAATTGAGCAGGGAGACTACAGGCACATGATCTATATACCAAAACTGATTAATAAGGCTAAAGTTGTTGGTAACTATAATGTCCCTTTAATGTCCCAAGCTATTCTGAAAAACCTTCTTGAGATGGCCAGCAGCCTGCTTTTCTCGTAAGTGGCTGTTTTTATCATTCTGCTTTAAAATGTTGATATCGACAGAATTATGATTACAAACGCACATTTTAGGCATTTCTATGACCATTACAGGTTCCATTACCAGATGTTCTGACTGTGTTTTTTACTTGTATATTCAGTGGATGCAAAAAGTAGAGAGGTGATCCGGAAAGCTTGTGAGTCAGTTTGTTCCATCAGTGACACATCCTTCGACATTCGATTCAACCCTGATATCTTCTCACCAGGTACGGACTGGGCTTTTTAAATCACTGGTACTGTTTACAAGAAGACATTACTAATCATTACATCTGTTCTCTGCAAACCTGCACTTCCTTTTTATGAAAACACTGTGTCTATTTCTGCGCCAAGGGCATTTTAATAAAAGGGGGGGGAAAAAGGACATGTCCAAGGACAAACTAAAAGCTGACACGTTGATCTGCGCATTCCCGTATCAGATAGTGGTTATCATTTAATGGATTGATTTTTAGCTGGTGTCCACATTCTGTTCATTAGAAGCTGTAGTCATTCAGTCACAAAGGCCCTGTGATATGCAAGGGCAGTATAAGGTCACTCATTGTTTACCACCTTGGGCCTAAGGCCCCTTTCACATTGGATCAGACACTATATGTACAAATGTACCAGATCTCAGTATTTATCCTGTTCATTTGGGATTTGCCATTTACTAAGCAATCCAGAATGTTTGGTATTCCTGTTTCTGAAACTGGGATTCATTCTATGCTGCTGACTATGTGAAGAGCTGGTATTTTTTACAGAGGTCCTTCCTGCAGTTTCAGGGACATACTGGTGTCACGCTGTTCTTTATCACAAGGAATATCGATTTTTCACTGCACATTGCATACTGACCTTTTCTATCTTATTCTCCTTTAACAGGCGTGCGTTTTCCTGAGTCAACTCAGGCAGAGGTGCAGGTTCAGAAGCTATTATTGAAGGACGCGGCTGCTTTTGTGTTAACCTGTCAGATACCAGGTTTGGTGAGTTGAAAGCTCCCCGATCTTGTCATTGTGCCTCTTTTTCTTTGTTTCACCCTGGGGAGCCTCTGGCTGAGTGCAATGTGAGATAAGATTTTATTCTATCTGCTGCTGAAAGATCAGATGAACATAAGCGAAGTGACAGCATGATGTACGTTTTATATGTTGGTAAAATTTAATTTTGTTACATATTATCGCTTCATTTAAAACGGCCTAGTTTCCTTAATTTCCTAGTGGAATATTTAAAGATAATATAGTTCTTACCTATTTATAATTACATTCAAAACAATATAGACATGTTAAGGATTAGATGGAGTGAAAAACTTGTCTTAATTATACTTTATTTAATTTGCCTCTGTATTTATGAATCAAAAGAATTGAGATCAGGCAGAAAGTGCTTTGAGGTGGGGGAAGTTGGCATTAACTATATGGTAATACTGAGGAGTAAAATATTTTTTGGCTTCATGGTGATTTGAAATAACGGTGTTCATTCCTCACAGATTAAAGATTGTCTTGAACACAATATTGTTCCCATGGATGGGGCCACTATGACTGATGCAATGCACCAGAGAGGAATCAACATGCGATATTTGGGAAAAGTCATCGATATTGTCAATAAGTTTCCCATCCCACCCCAGATAGATCACGTACATGTGAGTAATCCATTTTTCAAACTCTTGGTTCATTTCATTAAGGGACAGAAATGTTAAATCTTGTTCTCCACTACAGCTTAAATCTGAATATTGACATTTCCTAATCCAGTATTTATACAGTAAGTGGACCCTGGTCACTATTCAGCTCTGGTATTTGATCAATTACTTTTTTATTTTTTTGGTTAGAAATTAGTATGTTTTATCCAACACATTCACAATCCAAAAAATCCCACAATCATTTTCTGTTGGCAAAGCAGCTAAAATTAGAAATCCTTATTGACTTAAAACTGAACTTAAAGGATCACTATAAGGTCAGGAACACAAACTTGTATTCCTGATCCTATAGTGTTAAAACCACCATCTGGGCCCCTCATGCCTCCATAAATATAGCAGAATCTTACTGTATTCAAGCCTGAAGCTGTAGATCTGCATGCTGTTTGCCTCAGAAAAACACGCTGTCTGCTGACCTCATCAGAAGTGGGGGCCTGATCCAATCACAATGCTTCTCCATAGGATTGGCTGAGACTGACAAGGAGGCAGATCAGGGGCAGAGCTAGTATGATTCAAGCACAGGCCTGGCCAATCAGCATCTCCTTATAGAGATGAATTGAATCAATGAATCTCTACGAAAAAAGTTCAGTGTCTGCATGCAGAGGGAGGAGATACTGAATGTTTGGATGCATTTTAAGCAGCCATAACCCAGGAAGGATCTCTAACAGCCATCTAAGGAGTGGTCAGTGAAGTTATCACTAGGCTGTAATGTAAACACTGCATTTTCTCTGAAAAGACAGTGTTTACAGCAAAAAGCCTGAAGGTAATAATTCTACTCCCCAGAACAAAGGCAATAAGCTGTAGTTGTTCTGGTGACTATAGTGTCCCTTTAACTTGCAGTAATTTGACCTGTGGATAAATACTCTTGAGATCTCAATATTAAGTAAAATTACTCCCTCTTGCAAAAAATCTACACTGCCTCTCTGACCAATTGTCTAGTGCTGTAATGATATTATTGTGCAACACTGTGTTTCTGCTGGTGCGACAGGATTTCACTGTGAAACACTAAACACACAGACTCACCAACTATTACATCTGTTTATCTATTGTTCAAGAAGTGCCTGTTCTGCCATGGAGGTGCTGTTTATATGAGTGCATATTGCACGCCAGGTATCTGGTCAGTGTAGAAATTAACAATGTTGTTTTCTCTTCTGGGCTGTACTGACGCTTTAATGTCATTTGTACTAAAGTTGTTTTAAATTAGGAACCAGTTTAATTTTTGTTTTCCCCCCCTCAGAGAATTTTAGTAAGTGAAGTGATTACCCGTTCTGCAAAGCACATATTTAAGACCTACCTTCAGGTAAGAACATTTTTTGAATGATTTGTTCTGCAATCTATGGAAACCCCCTTCTTTTTTTTTTTAAATAATCCTCATTAATGTTAACTTCTTTCAATAACTGTAATATGGAAAATGTAAACTGAAAATGATAAAAATGTCTAATTTTCCAAACATCCTGTTATTGTACTTAAAGGTGAATGGAGCGCATGCTGCTAAGCAAGAATGTACTCAATCATGTTTAATTGTAAATTCCAGTTCACATGTATCCAATCTCGTGTTCTGGTTACACCCAACTCCTCGAGGCAGCTTTCTGATGTCATTTTGACTTTCATCTTTTCACAGGGTGTGGAGTTGTCCGGATTATCTGCTGCCATCAGCCACTTCCTGAATTGTTTCCTCAGCTCCTTCCCTAATTCTGTTGCTCACTTGCCCACTGATGAGCTGGTGTCCAAGAAAAAGAATAAGAAACGCAAGAACCGAAATCTCAGCAGTGTTGATAACACCGCATGGGCAGGCGTCACTCCTCAGGAGCTGTGGAAAAGCATCTGCTCAGAAGCTAAAGCCTACTATGATTTCACTCTGGAATGGTAACTAGCCATTTAACAGTCTTGTGTTACCTTTATTTTATACCAGTTGTAGATGCCCAGGGCTACTCAAACACTGTCAGTCATAGATATGATTGGCTGCAGGCTGCCTGTACAAAGTGTAGGTTGCAAAGAATGGATTCCTTTGGATGTTGTCCCATTAGGGTTGCCGGACCTCTATGGGTTTTGTGAGATATTTAATTTCTGCATTCTGTCAGGCAGGGTTTAACCCCTTAAGGACACATGACATGTCATGATTCCCTTTTATTCCAGAAGTTTGGTCCTTAAGGGGTTAAAGCATAGGCTGAGATCACAAATCAGAGTAATTTGTTGGAGTTTGGTACCAGACTAATGATATTCAATGGATTTCCTTTTTCAGTGAAAATGTAGACCAAGCAGTGGAGACCTATAACATCCAGAAAATCAGTCTTCTGAGAGAAATATGTGTCAAAGTTGGAATTCAGGTAAATGAAATAATTTTTTTGTGTGAATCCTCTAAAACAAATTAACGTTCTTACAATAAAAAAAAGCAGCCAGTTTATTGTTGGGTAACCTCTGCAACTTTACCATGAGCAATATCCAAGTCTTAAAATGGCTCCTCCGTTATCTTCTATGCACCTTTTTGTATTGCTCGATTGTAAATTGCTTTGATGTCTCATTGACCCGTACATTTTATTGGGCCCCGCATCTTTCGAGTGCACAAACATTCTCTCTTTTCTGAACAGGAGAAAGTTGACAATGATCCAATGCAATACTGTCAAAACTTATTTAGTACTCACAACCGAAAAAAATGATTAAAGGAACTCTAAGTTTTAAAATATTTTTAACATGTCCTTTGTTTTTGTTTCTGGGCTCCCCTCTTAAAAGGAAAAAAAAGGCATAACATTGATTTTTAACCCAGCCATTAGCCAGTATTATCCTGTAAGCTCCTCCCCCCCCAGAGATCATCTTTGATAAACATGACTTACAGTGCATGTGCAGCAATCTACGCCAATCCACGTTCTTCTTAGACAAACATGGAATCTAACACTTAAATGTCAGGCGTGTTTGGCATGCTTAGTGCAAGCTTGCTATTAGTAATGATGCCAAACGGTAAGACAATCAGTGTTCAAAGATCTTAAGGAGGAATTGCCCCTAGTGGCTGTCAGTTTGCTCTAATGGCATGCTCTCTGAACAATACAAACATTGCTGTTTCTCAGAGAAAAAGGAACAGCATTTATCGGGTGTCATTTTAATAATCTGAGACTGTTTTCACGTGTGTAAAAAAAGATATATTGTTAATTAAGAAAGGGGGGGAAAAAGGAGATTCCTCTGTACTTTAACAAAGTTTACTGTATTGTGCAAAATAATTCTTGTTTTAAAAATAAATGTTGCTTAGAATGCAGATAAGAAATATTACTTGGGTAAAATCTGCCTGCAGCCTGTATAAACTCTCATATTACATCCTATACATTTTAAGTTATTTGAAAAGAAATATATATTTTTGAGTTTTTTTTAGTATGAAATTGAAAATATCTTTGGACAAGAGGTTTTTATTCTTAGAACACTGTAGGTACTGTAATTGTTTCATGCCGTTGAAGTGATTATAGTGTGAGAAGTCCCCCAGCGTCTTTCCTTCCATTTTGCATTAAGAGAGTTTCCCCAGCAACTCCTCTACTCTGTGCTGATTGTACTTTTCAGGAAACATTGGCCTAAGCAACAGTGGGTTGGTGTGAGTGGCTGACCTTTTTTAGTGCTCATTGCTGGTACGAACTGGTATGACTAGAAGAAAAGTGTGTAATCTCTGCCTTAGCCATACCTTTAGTGGAGATGATGGCCAGCCTTGAATCGCATTCAGTGTTAAACAGCTAAAAATGTTTAGCACTGGATGATTTAATGGAGGAGGAAGCACCAGGCACCATAACCAAATCAGTTAGATGAAATAGTTATGGTGTCTAAAGTGTCCCTTGAAATCTCATTGGAAAATGAAGTGAGATTTTGTTGTTATCAGAAAGCACTGGAATCTACAAAACCATTTTCCAGAAAAATGTAAACCAAGTTCATGGCTGGCTTTAAATATCCGGTATTAAATATCAAATGTCAATAGATATTTAATATCAATAGGATCGACTGTGACAGGAGAAACATGAGCTACTTCATGGCACCTGGTAAATGTAGTATTATTCCTGGTGGAGCATTAGTGGTTATTACAAATTCTTTGGCACATGTTGAATAATGACTGTCATTGTCTCTTATTCTAGTGGACTGCCGTGTCAGATGTTTACTTAAGGACCAAATGCTATATTTTGACAATACATTCCTGTTTTTTTATTTAGCATGGTTATCTATATATCTGGTATGGTAATTTGAATGGTTTTTATATTTTGGAAAATCTCAATAAATAAAAAAACAGGCCAATTTATTAAATAAGCTGGATATGCCTTCTCCCTCCTCCTCCCCCTTCCTGAATTCTTTGCTTTAAGACTGCATTCCCTGTTACAGCGTATCATTCTACACAGTGTTTGTGTAGCCTTGTAACTGTTTTGTTTTCTTTACCCCTCAGATTCTGCTGAAGGAGTATAATTTTGACAGCAAACATAAGCCGACTTTCACCGAAGAGGACATATTAAACATATTCCCAGTGGTGAAACATGTCAACCCCAAAGCAACTGATGCGTTCCATTTCTTCCAGAGTGGGCAGGCTAAAGTACAGCAGGGTGAGTGTGTTCTATGCCAGTCCTCACTTTAGGTTTCACTCCCTGTAATATTGAATACATTTTGGGATACATTCACTAAACAAAAAATTATTGTTATGAGACACGGTGACTAGAGCATTTTCAGTTTCTCTCTTATTTCAAGTTAGACGCTTGCATCACTGGACTTTTTTTTTTGTTTTTTTTAAGCTAGCACACAAACTCTTTTAAACCAATATTAAAACAAAAAAAGCAAACTGTATGTAATATTTCTACACTTGGTAATGTTCCGTGGTTGGGCATGCCTCTTCAGCCTCCCCACCCATCTCCCTTTCAGACCAGTCCAGTAATGACAGTAACAGGGCATCATTGTGCAGCAGCAGGAGAAAGCAATCAATGGAGCCTGCTCTGCATGAATCACACTGATCAGGCTCCCTCTGTTCTCCACCTATCAGATGTTGCAAGATGAAGAGATCTTCCAACTGCACGTGTGTGAATTTGTCCAGCATAACAATGCACTTTTATAGCATTCCTAGGGATAGGAAACTAGTTGGATCAGTGTCTCCCCTGGAGTGGGTGTGCCAAGCATAAGCAAGCAGAAGCAGGTCAACATGGAAAAAATGAAATCCTATTTACTAGCTTTTTCAGTCTGCAGAGTGGTGATATTCCCCTAAAGAAGGCATGTTGGTGGAAAATTGCCCCAAATTTAGGAAGCTCAGGGGAGTATAAATTGAAATACTGATCCTGGTTTGGCTATAAGTGGGCACTATTTTCTTTGGCCAGCAGTCAGTTGGTAAATCAATGCAGGATACAATGCTGTTCTTTAAATGTACAGGTCCACAAAGTAGGCAGTGCAGTTATGGACCTTTTCTGCCATGCTTGTTTATGCTCTTTGTCATGAAGAATTCTGTCTGACAGCTGTCTGGAATCTTTCTTTAGGTTTTCTGAAGGACGGTTGTGAATTAATCAATGAATCCTTAAATTTGTATAACAATGTCTATGGTGCCATGCACGTGGAGATTTGTGCCTGCCTACGACTTCTAGCACGGCTCAATTACATCATGGGCGACTATTCTGAGGTAAACCAACCATTGGCTATGAGCACAGCGAGGAGATAATTATAGTCGGCAGCAATATAGATTTTAGTTAGGAGAATTTAATATTATCAGATATCATATAATCACTTTTGAGTGTATTGCATTATTTTCCTTCTTAATGGCTATTTCTTTCCCCTCTTAGGCCTTAATCAACCAGCAGAAAGCTGTAATAATGAGTGAGAGGATACTTAGCGTTGAACATCCCAGCACCATCCATGAATATGTAAGTATAGTTTAATTTTTTCTCATCTCTGTATGCATTCTCTATGCTGACTGACAGGGAGCCAAGATGGAGGCACCCAGTTGGAGAATACAGAGGTGTGGGTTTTCAAAAAAAAATTTCCCCTCACCTTTTCACTTATCAAAAGATCTTTGTTAAATATAGGGATAAGTAAACCTAATATAAATAATCCTGGTTGTGGCAGTTCCTCTTGGACCATTTAATGCTTTACAGTGAAAGTTAAAGGACCACTATAGGCACCCAGACCACTTCAGCTTAATGAAGTGGTCTGGGTGCCAGGTCCATCTAGGATTAATCCTTTCTTCTATAAACATAGCAGTTTTAGAGAAACTGCTATGTTTATAATAGGGTTAATCCAGCCTCTAGTGGCTGTCTCATTGACAGCCGCTAGAGGCGCTTCCGTGCTTCTCACTGTGATTTTCACAGAAAGAAGACGTCGGCGTCCATAGGAAAGCATTGAGAATGCTTTCCTATGGACTGGCTGAATGTGCGGCTCGTGCCGCGCATGCGCATTCAGACAATGACGAGGAGGAGAGGAGGGGGAGAGTCCCCCGCCCGGCGCTGGAAAAAGAGGTAAATTTAACCCCTTCCACCCCCTCCCTTGTGGGAGGGGGGGCCCTGAGGGTGGGGGGGCCCTAGAGACCCTATAGAGACAGCAAAACGAGTGTGTTTTCCTGGCACTATAGTGGTCCTTTAATTGTTTCCCTTTGTCAAACACCATTATTAAAAGGACGCTATAGTCACCAGAACCACTATAGCTTTATGTAGTGGTTCTGGTGTCTGCAGCCTTGGCACTGAGAAAAGGCTGCTGGCAAGTAATACCTCTAGTTGCTGTCCACTAGAGGTGCTTTCTGTGTCAGTGCTGCACAGTGTGAACGTTTTCTATAGAGATGCATTGATTCAATGCACATCTATTGGTAGATGCTGATTGGCACACAGAAAACATTCGATTGGCTGCGATCATCAAAATTGATGCTCTCAGCCACACAACTATTCAAACAAAAATATACATGTTCCAGTTGGACTTTTAAAGAAAGCATATGTTTAAAATTGATGAAACACAAAATGGTATTCTTTGCCAACAAATATATAAATCCATATTGAAGGAAAAAATATACAAATGGATTTTACTTCACAATGACAAGTGTCTTTTCCTGATATTACTTGTCCTTGGTTACATTCCATCACTTAATAACGATTATTCTTTGTGTCTTGTTTTTTTTAGGTTAATCTAGCATTATATTGTTTTGCAAACAACCAACTTTCCACCGCATTAAATTTGCTGTACCGGGGACGCTATCTCTTGCTGTTGGTGTATGGAGAGGGACACCCAGATATGTCTCTGTTAGATGTAAGTGCATTTTTGGATATTTACATATTTATGTCAAACATATCTAGTCAAAAAAAATCTACTACATGATGTAGAGAGACTAAACAAAATCCCATTAGAAAAAATTCATTTTTAGTCACTCTGCATTGCAGTTTGGGCATGTTTGTAAAAACCCAACACTTCCTGCTGAATAGAAGTCAGGGCAGAGCACAATGGGTATAGAGCAAGGAAAGTCAACCTTCGGCACGCCAGATGTTGTGAACTACATCCCCCATAATGCTCTAACACCCATAATGCTGGCCAAGCATCATGGGAGGTGTAGTCCAAAACATCTGCCGTGCCGAAGATTGCCTAGGTCTGGTATAGAGTGTCTACTTTTCTATTGGAATCTTTCTAAACACTTTACCGAACAGTTCTTCATCAACACAGCCTGGTTACAGGGCATTAAGTTTGTGGGGGTTTTTTGTTTTTTTTCTGTTTTGTTTTTTCTTTGTGTATTTTGCTTGTGATAGAAAACCACAGAACCTGATCACATGACAAAATCATGGTGTTTAGCCGTAATCTTCAAAGGTTCAAATTATTTTTTAAATAGGATTGAAGTATCTCGTAGTATCTGATTTTCATAGTAAATGTTTACAGTCCTGAGCTCCATCAGCAGGTCAGCTGTGCTTCTTAGTATAACCATATCTTTAATGTTCCATCTGGCCATGTTAACTCATGCTCTGTTTAGTATCTTAGGTTTGCCTGTAGTGTAATTCTTGGGAATATGTGTTGCTTTGTTCTCTCTGGTATTTAGATTATCACAGCCCATTAAATTAGCTTTTTTTTTTTTTACTTGTCTCCTTAGAGCAACATTGGACTAGTGCTTCATGGAGTAATGGAATATGACCTCTCCCTCCGATTCCTGGAGAATGCTCTCACAATAAACACCAAATATCATGGATCCAAGTCTCTGAAAGTAGCACTCAGGTGAGATTGCTTTCATTTAAAGGCCTGTTTCTAGGAATTCAGCTTAATTCTATATCTTTTCTGCACTTGCGTTGGTGTGTTTGTTTGCGGAATGAAAAGGATTTTGAGGGGAGAAGGGTTATTTTATTTTTTTGTCTAGGATCTATCCAATATAGTTTGTAAAATCCTCTGAAAGTAATTCAGTTAATGGGATGAATTGGTGGGGGTTACATGCTTTCTGTTGGCAAGGAGAGCTGACACAACCTCTTCTCTGCCTTACCCCATATGTGAGGTTAGAAGGGTTCAACTTCTCCCTGATTCTGGATTGGAGAATGCCTGAAATGAACAGCTCCCCGATTTTATGACTGATAAATGTAATATTATGGCATTGGAGGCTATTGTAAACCGTAATTTCCAATGTGACATTTCATGCATCAATTACATTATGGACGTACTATGTATAGAAGTTAAATGGCTTTGATTTTCCTTTTTAGCCATCATCTTGTAGCCAGAGTGTATGAAACCAAAGGAGAGTTCCGCTCGGCCTTACAACACGAGAAAGAAGGGTATACAATCTATAAAAACCAGGTATGCCGTAACCTCCCTTTTCCATTAGATACACATAGTGCAATCAGTATGGCATCTATTCCGTGTCATATTTACCATTTCATGTTGTGCAAGCTTTTGTTGATTTGAAACCATCCTAATGGAGCTCTGAGCTGTTGATTTGCAGTGAATACATCCCAATTCCCTGATTTGCCTATTTGGGCATAATTTTGTGTAAGCATCCCAGTCCACTTTTGCCATAATGCACCAATTGCCGAAAGACCTCTTAATGTTTAATGCTGGTATTGCAAATAGGCTAAATGGATTGCTCTGCATTATGGGGGATGTAGTCCACATATTTTACCAGCCAACTAATCTCTAAATAGGACAATCATTTTATGAATGGCATTTCTTTTGAATTCTACCTAGCTTGGGGAGCAACACGAAAAGACCAAAGAGAGCTCAGATTACTTAAAGTACTTGACACAACAGGCCGTGGCTTTACAGCGTACAATGAATGAAATTTATAAGAATGGATCCAATGCCAATATAATGCCTCTAAAGGTAAGTGTTTCTTTACCAGACTGAGAGGTGTATTCTGCTTCCATTAATATCGTTAATCGTTCTGATATACATGCCATTACTTGGGTTTCAATTAACTACAACTCCATACTGAGGCCCATGAAGTACTACCTACAATGTAAGCTAAGGATTGTTATAGAAAGTTAAACTGGGTTCATAACTAGTGAGTCTCACCCCCTCCCTCCTCCTCCACAAAGCGCTCACTGAAAAACTGCAACAAATGTGAATTTGCTGCAAATGCAGGCATTTCAGATATGATTTTTACTTGTGAAAAATTTTTTACCGTATTTTTATTTCATTGTCTATATTGTGTATCAGACCAGTTAACCCCAGCGTGGAGTGTCCCTTTTGTTTCCATATGTTATTTATACTAAATTTCTGTATACACTTCACTAATATTTATGCCTGATCCTAAGCAGTGTCAACTTTTTTTTTTTTTTTTTTTTAACCCAGTACTTTTTCCAGCAGAATAAGCCCTGGTCAAAATTTAATTCTCACAGTGACAAATATATTGCCTTGCTTATCAGTCATGACCCCACAGGGGACACTTGGCACAGGTCAAACTAGCGCTGGGATTTCTTGGCTAACTCATAGTCATATCACCAGCACCTGTTCTGCATTCGGGACATAAAGGCCGTACTCCATTAAACGGATTAACATCTTTATTCACATACAAAATTATATTTAGACATCAAATGCAGAGGAGGGGGGAGAATGCACATATGCAAATGTGTTTCCCACTAGACATACTAGTGTCTTAAAGGGCCAGAGAGAACCCATCCACCTGTCTGCACTCACACGATAGGACCTTTCGAATTTAGAACGCTTCACTGCTGCACTATTGAATTAAGGCATAATAGAACCTACATTTGCTTCCTGTTTTTGAATTTTTAGGTATAAAACGGACTGTATTTTGTGACTTCCAAAGTTTTATATAGAATTTTTATTTATTCTATTCTTTCCTTAGCCTGTTTTTCAGGCTTGCGTGATGGTAGCTCAGATATATACAATAATACATGTGCAAAGATTAATTTCGCTTTAGTTTTTTCCCATTTACAAAGAATTCAGAAATAGTGGAAACTCAACCAGTATCATTTGCTTCATTGTTAAAACATGGAATGTTGCAGGTTTTAGAATTGTTCAGGATTTTTAAAGCAGCAAACATATTCTGCAGCAGAGTACAATTAGGGGACTCCTGACAATACAACATACACAGAGCAGTACAAAAGGGTGCGAGAACCTGGTTTGTGAACATAAAATCTTGCATTTTCAGCACTTTTCTACAAAATGCTTAGCAAGATAGCTTGTGACCTTTTACCATTTGAAGCTTGCAATACCAATCTCATCAGCTGCACGTGTACCTCTGACAGTCATTGAGAAAGCCGTGTGGATAACATTTAATTTTTGTTCTTGCTTTCTTAGTTCACAGCTCCAAGCATGTCTAGTGTTTTGGATCAACTTAACATTATCAATGGAATCCTGTTCATCCCACTCAGGTGAATGATTCTTTTTTTATTTTATCTTGTTGTATATTTACTGTATCCTTTGAAGATATAATCAAGTTTGCTCCCGGGTTACACAAGCATAAGCTCGATGTTCCGTATCTTCCTCCTTTGGCTAGATCTTATACCCGCCTGCTTAGATATAGCTTATAGTGAAGTGGGAACTTGACCACAAAGTTCTGGCCATATGTGTGGAATGCCTTTCCCCGTTCTGACCTTGGTGAACATAGTTTCCTTTCCAGGCATGGCAACAGGTAATTGCTGCTCTTCCTCTAGAGCACGTGAACGCATCCCAGTCTATATATATTCCAAATCAGACTTCACATTAGAACTAAAGTTAGTAAACCCAAAATTCAGGACTGTTTGTGTTCCATTCTCTATAGTAAGGGTTTCTATCTTCTCTTAATGCATTTCTCTGCTTGTCTACATTTTTTGGTCAATCTATCTGGAGGGCCGGCTTCAGTACGAACTCAGGTCTCTAGTAATCAGTCCAAATACTCGTGTTGTCCCGGTTCACTTTCTCAATGCCGTGATCTGAAACTTCTCGTTCATGTTTTCTCCTGCCTGTTGTGCTTACCAGTATAATTTCTTTAGTCATAGGGACCTGGAGCACCTGAGAGCGGAAGTTCAACGTCGCCACCTGCTCCAAGAATCCATAAAAATAGCTGAAAACCAAGAAGGGAAAGTGCAAGAAACTAAAGAGCAAGAAGAGCCTCAAACTAGCACAACAACAAACGAAACACCTGAGACACAGAACTCTGCTTAGTCCTCCACTGCCTTTTTCTTTTTCAGTGTAAAACACCATTTTTAGAACATTTAGGCTCAATGAGTTTTCTAACCTGACTTTAGTGGGTGGAAACGATAAGCTGCAGAGGTACAAATGCAGTTAAAATAACAATGCAAAAGAACTAATCCATAATCCAACAATCTAAACTCTCTCTGCACCACCTGTTTTTGCTGCACTGAGGCACCTCCGTCCCGAAGCAGAAGCAGGAAAAGTGGGTTTGACTCTGCCCGAAAACCAGGATCTAAGTTTGTGTGTTTGTGTGTGTGATTTAAAAACAAAAAATAAAATCCAGTTCTACCTTTGTATATTGTAGGAAATCAGCAGGTGTGCTGTTTAGATGTGACTGAACCTTTCTCAGGTCATTTCCTATGGGAACTCGAACAGAGTATAATTGATGAGATGTGGAAAACAAGCCAGATCTAAGTTGCATCACTGTGTTCTGAGCCGAAAGGTGCAACAAACAGCCCTCCACTAAGCCATACACAGAGGGGATTAAGCCCCTAGTATTCCACAGCACGTTTTGGCAAACAGTAACCAGGATCATGTTCTGTGGTGTCACACGCTAGATTTCTAAACTAGGGGATTACACATAGTAAAATGTCCTATGCTTCCGTCCGCCTATTCCTTTCATTATTAGTCTCGTGTATTATATACTTTGTGTTTTTGTTTTCTTCCTGTATGGTGATTGAGGCTTGTGAATCATGCGTATTTAAGTATTCTCTGTTTGTCTTCTTGCTGTTATTTCTCTCTAAACTACACACATTATTAGTGCCTGAACATATAACAGAGCCATGGTCACAACAGTATTTTAGTGAAGAGGCTAATGCTTTGGGGAATAAATGCCATATCTAGTTGTCCTGTGGACATAATTTCTTCTTCACCTTTTATGGCCAGTCTTTGTTTCGAAGAAGCAAAGTTTTTGTGCCATTTTTGTGTTTAAAGCTTTTTTCAATTTCCCCTCTCCCTTCTGTTTAACCATTGACCAAGGCACGGTGTTATTAAAAATTGACACTATAGTGAAAATTACAATGGATAAAATTGATCAGGCAAAACTTCTAGATGGCTGGTTCCTACAGAACTTCAAAGAGTAGTATATATGTTGTCTTTCTTTCTTTGTAGTGTCTTTGTTGTAGCAACTTTTGATTGTGAAGACAGTATTTGTCCTTCATCACTTGCCTTAACTCTAGAATTCTGCAGTTCTTCAGCACTCTCCTGGAGCTTGGCATAATTCTGTAATCTTTGGCTGCTCCATCCTTTTTGAGAAAATAACTTAAAAATATTTAAATAAATTAAATAACTAAAAAATAGACTTGCTACTGTTGAGCTGCAGTATGTTAAAGAGGGCTAACCCCACACAGGCTTTTTTTATTTTTTTTTCATTTTTCATGCTGTTCTATTTGCACAAAAGGAAATAATTCTAGGGAGACAGTGGACTGGTTCCATTGCATATGTCGGAAGAATGTAACACCTTATAATCTAAAGGATCCTGAAAATCCTCGTAATTTTAATTGTTATTCAGAAGTCTATGGGGCAGGGGAATCTGCAGGTTTATAGCATTTGTATAACAATTTATAGATTTCATAGGACTCTTTTTAACCACCTGGTGCAGAGTATTCTGGGTAAATCTTTATTTTGAGAATAGGAGACCTGGTTTATTTTAATGTTTCAATTACTTTTTTATATTTTTGCGCTTTTTTTTTTCTTTTTCTTCAGTATTTTGGTTAATAATTGTAATCATTATATCATTGTTTTCGTGGGAAAATAGCCTTGTATTGTGTTGCTTACAATCAAGTTACTAACAATCACTTGTAAACTGTACAGCTCCGATTGTAAAACATGTAAACATTTTTGTGTTTCGATTGTGATGTTTGTTAACCTTAGCCTGGTGTACAATTCTCTGCTTTGCAGGCTCTTTTGACACAGCAGATACCCGATTACTACTGCTCTCCTTCAATCTACTTTTATGATTGTTGAAAAGCTGCTGTGTATTGTTTTATGGGGATAAAAAAAAAAAAAAAAAAAAAAAAATTAATTTGGGGGATGGCCTTTTACCAAACAATCGCAGGTAAAGCAAAAAAAAAAAAAATCATTGTTGTCAATCATAAACAGGTTCTTGAACTTTGGAAATTTTAGCCTTCAATAAATTGAGGACAATGTAGTGTGTGGATCTATTTTTTATTTATCTTATATATATACCGGTACAAGAATTGACAAATGTTTTGTATTTTAACTTCAACCAACACCATGTGTAAAGTTTGGAAATATATTTTCTGTGTAGCCTGGCATAAACAACATCTGTTGTTGGCTACAATGCTGCCATGGGTTTATAGAACTCTTGTCCCTTGGCACAATTGCTTAATTTAGTATTAACCCATTTTTAAATGATTTAACACTGAATGAGAGTTTCCAGCCTCCACTGGAATTATGTCTATGGCAAAGATCACACTCTGCTCTAGCAATATCAAGTCCTGCTGGCAATGGGTGCATGTGATTGTCAACTTATCGCTCTCAGCCCATTATTTCTGCCCATTTTTGCTTCAGCTAATGATTCCTCATAAGTCTGAGCATCAGAATCCTAATTGGGGCACCTACTAGTGAGAGAAAAGATTGGGGGGGGGGTGTGCAAACACTGCCACTCTCCCACAAATTCCCTCTTTAAAAAAAAAAAAAAAAGTTTCCTTTTGTTACTGAGCTGTTTATTAATCGTGGGGTCTCCATATCACTCAATCATTCCGGATAATGATTGTTTTTTAAATTTTTTTTAATTCTTTGTTATATTCCACCCTGGTGTTATACACAAATATAACAAAAAAAATAAGAGCATTGATAAAGAGTGCCGTTAGATAAATCGGCAATAGAAAAGTATGTGAAATGAGGGATTTTGTTGTTTTCTTTTTGGTTCGATATGTATTGTCATAAAAGACAGTAATATGATAGAGGGGGAAAAAAAATAACCTCAAACTAGAGTACAGAGGTGACTATAAAGTGTTCCCCTGTGGTTACTAGCGATTAAGTTGGGCACATATCATTGTGCCCTAGATCTCTAAAGGGGGTGAAAAAAACGCCTCCTTGTGGTAAAATCACCCTCGATTACAAGAAGGCTGAATGGGAACCTGGGGGTTGGGGGGACACTTACTCCATCTGTTCTCGTGGGCTCCTAAAGGCCCAGCTGGCACAGGAGTGTCTCAAGCTCTTGATAACTCTTTGCTCTGTGGGTAGCATCTCGATGAGTGAAAAGCAGCAGTCATGGTGTCACCAATTGGTAGGGTATATTTCTGGAGGGAGTTGCTGCAGGAGCGGTTTCAAGGCCCTGAGCCGGGTAAGTGAGCTCCTGGTGAGGTCAGGGTAGAACTGCAGTGTAGAGCTCTCAAAGTGTAGTGATTTTTATTTTTTATTTTTATTTTTATATCCCCGCATTGCTGCAAGGAGAAGGGCCTTTTCCTGGAGTGATCTAAAGTGGAGAATAAAGTTAGAGCAGGGGTTCCCAACCCAGTCCTCAAGCACCCCCTACCATTCCAGGATTTAGGGATTACCCTGTTGTGTCTAAAGTGTTCTAAAGTTTCTTTTTCTAAAAACACCTCACACACAACTGGGTAATTCCTAAATCCTGGACTGGTAGGGAATACTTTAGGACTGGGTTAGAGGATGCTGCTGCTGGGGCTGTCGGCAGTCTGAACATGCTGTCAGGCTGTACCAATTTGGCCTGTTTAAGAGAGAGTAATTCAGAAATTAGGTGCCTAGAAAATTTCTATTTAAATCCCAAATGAAACCTGTAGACACTGATATTTCAGTTTATATTTTTAAAATAAATTGCATAATGTAAATATTGTGTGTGTGAACTATTAATCTGAAGTATAAAAGTCACAAAATGAAATATAATAAACACTTAATATACTGTTAAACACAGGACACTGGCACTCTCACTGGTTTGAGACACACTCATACACTCTCTATTTTTTACTTGTCAACCCAGCCGCCTTACCTTTGGAAGCGTTGGCGTGGATGTTTCCCTGGGGTCCTTGGTGCTCTTCCACCATTGCTCCCTGGTGTGCTTGTTCAGTGATGCCAGGCTAGAGTAACATCATAACCTGGCTCATGGCATCACCACCAGGGAGTAGTGGTGGAAGAGCACAGACCAAAGCAGAATGAAAGTTACGGTCTTCAGTTTAAAGGGATACTGTAGTGTAAGGAATACAAAGCTGTATTCCTTACACTATACTTCCCTCTGGCTCCCCCAGCACTGTAAGGGTTAAAAACCAAAAAAAAAACACCTTAATGCATTCCAGTGCCGATGTCCCACAGTTCCGGGTTGGCGATCAGTTCCCTTTTATGTCACCCAACGAGGGGGGGGGGGGTGTTTCTGACGCAGAGCATGAGGACGTCCTGCGTCAGACGACCAAAACTTGCTTAGCAAGCAGGAACTCTAATGGTTGTCTGACTAACAGCCAGTAGAGGCTGTCTTAGTCCTGCGAGGTAATCAGTGCAGTTTCTCTAAAACTGCAATAATTTACATTCCAGGACTAAGGGGGCAGGGGAATTGCACCCAGACCACTTTAGTGAGCTGAAGTGATCTGGATACCTATAGTGTCCCATTAATGCACATTTACAAGTTTATAGCTGCTAATGCATTTGTTGACTCAGAAAGATTCAGATCAGCTATATATATTGTTTTACTAGTTTACCATGGTTGGATATGCTAATGTGTGAGCTCCGCCTCTTATAGCTGACAGGAACTAAAGAGAGACTTTAAAAGGAGGCTAGGTACTAAACAAAACAAACACCTTAAAGGGACACTCCAGGCACCCAGACCACTTCTGCCCATTGGAATGGTCTTGGTGCCCCTTCCCACTACTCTTAACCCTGCAAGTGTAATTATTGCAGTTTTTTTTATAAACTGCAATAATTACCTTGCAGGGTTAACTCCACCACTAGTGGCTGTCTACTAGAGAGCCACTAGAGGGCACTTCCTGCATCATAGCAAAAATCTGTGCTAGAGCGTCACTGGACGTCCTCACGCTGTGAGGACCACCAGCGTCGCTCATTTCCCCATAGGAAAGCATTAAAAAGCATTTTTAATGCTTTCCTATGGGGAGCTCTAATGCGCATGCGCGGCATTGCCTTGCATGCGCATTAGGTCTCACTGGCCTGTGGGTGGGATCAGTCTCGCCTACTGGCCAACAAAATCACAGGGAAGAGCGGCGGCGGAGAAAGAACCTCAACTTCTCTACAACTCTACTTTCTCCTGTCAATTAGACATCATGGCAAACATGAAACCATCACCCCAATTCTGAAAAAACCCAACCTTGATCCCAACTCCCCATCCAACTATCGCCCTATCTCGCTACTGCCATTTGCCTCCAATATCCTTGAGAGTTGTGTATGTGAGATTAAAAAAGTAGGTTTGGGCACACCCAGTAGTTTCTTCAGCAGGTAGACTTCATTGTGGAGTACAAAATTAGACATTCTACAAGACAAGTGTATGCAAGATTGACAGACTTTCTCGAATCTAACTCACTGCTTGATCCACTTCAGTCTGGATTCCACGCTCATCACTCTGTCGAAATGGCTGTGACCACAGTATCCAACGAGTTAATCGCTGCTAAATCTCACGGTCATTATTCTATCCTAATTCTCCTTGACCTTTCTGCTGCCAGTTGACACTGTTGATCACGAACAGCTCCTTCTCATTCTCTGCAACCTCGGTCTACTGCATATTGCTCTCTCCTGGTGCTCCTCCTACCTCTCCCAATGCTCTTTCAGTGTTTGTTTCTCTGACTCTACCTTTCCTCCCCAACCCCCTCTATGTTTGTGTTCCCCAACGTTCTGTCGTTGGTCCTCTACTGTTGTCTATCTAGACTGCCTACCGTGGTAAATTCATCAGCTCTTTTGGCTTCAATTATATTTTATATGCTGATTACATGCAAGTCTCCCTCCCTCCCTGTCAATGGCACTACCAACACCTCTACCTCGCAGCCTAGATGTTCTCTTTGACTCTGACCTCAACTTCACCCCTCATGTCCAGTCGATCGCCAAATCCTGCCGCCTCCATCTCAAAAACATAGCGAGCAGAAAGCCCTATTTAACACCAAATGCAGCTAAGGGGCTGGTCTATGCCTTTGTTCTTTCTCCCCTTGACTACTGCAATATCCTTCTCAACAGTCTTATGTGTTCCCAGCTTGCACTGTTGAAATCTATAAAGTGGTGATGCTCATCTACCTGTCCACCCGTACCTTCCACACCTCCCCATTCTGTCAGTCCATACATTGGTTTCCTGTAAGATATAGAGCTCAATTTAAGATTCTGGTGCTTGCACTTAGTCTCTACATAATGCTGCTCCAACCAACCTATCCTCCCTATACACAAGTAATTACATTACACTTTCACCGAGTCTCCATTCCTTTAAAAAATTATTGAAAACTCACTTCTTCAGGAATGCGTTATCAATTAAACTGTTTTCATCCCTGCACCCAGATACCTATCCTTCAACTGTCAAAAATAACCTACAATGCCCTCAGTGAATACTTTTCAAGCAACCTACTTTGCTACCCCTGCTGTTACCATTTGTGTCACTATATCCCACTTCCTCTAGCATGTAAGCTCATTGAGCAGGGCCCTCAACCCGTCTGTTCCTGTGCATCCAACTTGTCTGGTTACAGTTAGGTCTCTTGTTAGTCCACCCATTATACAGTGCTTCTAAATTTTCTGGCATTTTATAAATGATAAAATAATAATCATACGTAACACGTATAACCATTCTAAAATGGTTTGTGTGACGGAACGCTGGCACTCCGACTGAGTACCTCCGCCAATCGATGCTCCTAGCGCTTCCCGAGGACTCCAAGCACTCTAACCGACACCATCAGCACTGCAGATCCCACTTCCAACGATACAGCTGCGCCAGGGTCTCGCCGTTTCCACCCAACCTGGATCCACGACCAGGATCCAGCTCCCAGTGGGTGAACCTCTCCTAAATCCAGAGAGCCTAGCAGGAACAAATCAAGATATTGCAAGAGCTTACTCTGGGGAATAAGTGATTATAGTAATCCCCAGAGTGTAGGTATCCCTTCCCTCAAACATGAGCCAAGGCTTCAAGAAAGGTACAAGATGATCTGGTTTTAATGACCACACACTGGCTTTTATGCAAGTCCCCATGCAAGGGTACATCCCACAGGGTGGGACCCAGTATAACCAATCACATACAATACAAACAAAACACTCCCACAGTGACATCACAATCCCTCCTCTCTATCCTGGAGATAATTGGGAAGTAATCAAATTTTCTCCCAGGACAGAGGCAAGACTCCATTAACCACATGGTCCAAAAAGACATAAAATTACACAATGTTACAATTACTATATAAAACATATACATGCAACATATCCCCAGATAGCTTAGATCTGAGTGCACATTATTATTGAATGGCGCTCAGATCACATACATACAATTCAATCGCCATG